GGGGGGGGACAGGCAGGCAGGGGTTATCTAAGACTTTTACTCTGTCGAGTGCTCCGAGGTCAGGAAAAAAAAGAAGAGGCAGGGGCTGACTGCTCCTCGCAGTGCCTTTCTCGGGCTGAGGTGGACAACAGCCCTCGAATAGCCTGGCGCAGGGCGATACCCCCAACCACTACCCAACCAACGCCGCCGAGCCACGGGCATACCCCCCTTTTTTTCCCCTGTTCGTTATTGGGAAACGGACAGATATGTTGAGGGCGCGGAATTTCAGTGACGCATGTAGAACGCCCAAGTCATAGCATAAAATAAAAAATAAAAAAAAGCAAGACAAGTAAACACAAAACAAAACTCACAACGCATGTGATGCTCCGTTGCCCACCACGTCATCGAGCAGCCGCACCGTGGGAGGAACCGAGTGCGCGAACGCGCCGGGGGGCACCCTTGCGCGGGGCCGCACCGCCATCACCAGGGCGCTAGGCCGGCCGCCCGGCACGGCTAGGAGAGGCTTTGACGGTCAGGAGGAAATTCCAGGCCCGTGAGAGAGCGCAGGAGACAAGAGGAGATTGAGGTGGCACGCTCCACAGACCTCGAGGAACCACGGATATTGGCAAAACATCACTCAAGCTCGAAGAACCATGCGGGCTGGCAAAGAATCCATGTCTATTGCGTTTCTTTTGGTTTGCTGAAATCAAGCCACCCGGACTTTCTTGTCCGGCAGCGCGTCAACTGGTGACAAAATATGTACAGCGAAGAAGTGTAGCAATCTTTAGGTAAATGGTCTGGAAAAGGAGCGTCATGAATGAGGGGTAAAGGTGTCTTCCCAGAAACCCAATTCCGTCCACCGCAGAACAATGCCCAGGGGGACTAGCTAGACGTCGGACAGAACTGTAAAGAGACAGTAAACAATAAACAAAACTTGTTGAGGTGCAGAAGCGCTCAGTGGGAAAACGTGGGCGACGTCATGCTTTTGGTGCAATCTCTATAGGCCATCCAAAAGAAACAAAAATGCGGGGCTTGATTTTTCCCCTCAACCAACGATCCTTCCAGGACCAATACGGTTGAAAGAACTGTGTAGGGGTGAGGCGAGAAGCATCCAGACCTGGATGCGACGGGGGTATCTCTCATCAAACGATCGCGCGAGGCAGCACGCAGAACGTCGAAAAAAGGAGGGAACAATGAGAAATTGGGGCGAGAGAGGCCGCGACAGCAGCCAATTGTCTAAAAGGCCGTGTCAAGAAAGGTAAAAATGGGTGTCATAAAGTCGTCAGGTTGGACCGCAAAACGAGTGGTATCCGCAGTGCTGTTGGATATGCGGAAGGGTCTCCCAGCTTAAAACCACTTGCCCTCGACGTAGCTGCGCTTGTAGACGCTGTAGCCCTCAAAGGTGCCGTCGTCGGCGCCGCGGATCTTGTCGCCCTTCTTGACATCGAAGCCCGTCTTGCCCAGGGTAGTGACGAGCTCCGTCTCGTGCGTGACCTTGGTCTGCACGTCGTCCCAGAGGTAGTAGGCGTTGCCACAGGGAAAGAGCTGGCAGCCGGAGGTGGGCTTGCATGCCTTGGCGGGCCACATCTCGGCGACGCCCTCGTGGTCCGCGGCGTCGACGATGGCCGAGACGTCAAAGTAGGTCAGATCATTCCAGCCGTTGAAGGCGACCTCGCCGAGCATGCCAGGCTTTTTGTCCTTGCCCTCCGAGACCGAGTAGTAGTTGCCGATCCAGGCGTGCGGGATAGTGACGTTGACCGTTGAGTTTGCAGGCACCTCGACAGCCTCGATGGTCTCCAGGCCCGCGTTGGGGGTGAAGTAGACGGTGCGGTTCACGTTGTCGATGGACTTGAAGATGATCTTGTTCTCCGCCACGACGGCCGAGGCGGCGGCCACCAGGAGAGTAGCAATGCTAAGGAACTGCATCTTGAGTGCTGGTTGTGTGTTGAAGAGAAACCGGGAAAGGGCTCAAGTTTCTGAAACGGGAATCCGTTGGTTGTTTGTACTCGTTGTACGAGGTAGAGTGTATCCGCGGTTGGACGCGAACTAGTTCTGCTGACGAAAGATTGCTGGTAGTGTCTGATGTCGAGGCAAAAGGGGGCGACCTGGTGCGTCCTTTGGATGTTGACTTGGGTAGGCGAAAAAGAGTGAGCCTAGCTCTTGACAACGACTGATCTGTCTTGGGTTTGGAAAGGAATAGTGAGTGGATATAAAGGGGTCCCCAAGGGAGTGTGGAGGTGGAAAAGAAGGTTGTTGTTGAGATATCAAAACAAGGCCGTGTTTACAGCTTCTGGCCGAGGGGGAAGGCCTGTTATTATACGAAAGGGGACAGCCTCGACCGCCACCACCACCGAGGATGTGGGTGGGCCAGGCCACGGACCGGTATGGCGTGGGAGACTGGAGAGGCCCACTAGGGCAAGGGGATTGGGCAAGGGAGGAGACAACCTTTGCAGACTGCCGTGGCGGAAAAGACCCATCTCCTCTCATGGTTTGTGCCCGCCCTTTGTGGCATGGCGTGTGGACATCCGGAGCAGAGCCGGGGTGTGCCAGTCCATGACGGACCCCGGGCTGTGAGTGTTGAGACAGGGGTTGGGTTGACGGCTCTCGTCCGAGGCGTTGCGCTGGAAAAGGAGGCAATCTCAAGGAGAACGACTAGAATCTCGCTAGCTCGGGGAGCAGCCGCCAGCGCTGGGCTCGATGCTGAAACAAGCCAAAGCCGGCCGCGACTAGCCAAACGGCCGTCAAGGTGGAAGTAAGCCACGATGAAGGGGCTGTGGGAGAGGGAGGTAGCGCCAGGAGGGCCACTGGGCCATCGTCGCGCCTCATACTGCGTACGCACCAAAGCCAGCCCACACGGCCTTGGAGACCTTTGCTGCCAGAACTTGGCCTACCATCAGCACCGTAGGTCGTCCCCAACACAGAAGGCGACAGGTACCAAACCATGCCTGGACACCGTCATGGACGCCAGGCTATACCCGGCACAGTGAGTGAATAAAGTGCGCAATCAGGAAACAAAAAAAAAAATCCCAACAGGATTTTGTGAGGAGGCGTCAAAGAAGATGGAGGGGCAACCAGGGATTGGGTGATGTTGGCGAGGAGAGGGCAGGTTGGGATGACGCCCCTGGAAAGAATTTTTTTCCTGCACCCCGTTCAGACCAAGACCACTCGGGCCAAAAATGGCAACAACAAAAAAAAGCCAATCGGGTAAAAGCAAAACTGAGAGCCCGCAAGGGAGGCGCGGGTGGGATCAAAGAATCAGCAGGCTGCATGTCAGCTCTCCTGGCTGGGAGCGAGCTCTGGCCTCCCATTGGGCAAAGGCCTGCATGCGGTGCCTGGTACCTGGCAGCGGCAGAATCCATCGTGGCAGGCCCTGAGAGGGCCAAAATGGCTCCCCCTTGGTCCGACCCATCCACACCTATTGAGCTGCCGTCCAGCCTCCGGGCCTTGCTTACCACGCATCTGCTAATCCGACACGACATTCCATCCCGCTCACCCGCTCACGCTGCCTTGGTCGACGACTGAGGGGCAGGCGTCTCCTCACAGAACCCCGCCAAGATGCCTGTGGTGGGGTTTGTGGGCTTCCATTACTTGTGGGTCAGCGAGGTCGAGGCTTTTTTCTGCCATCTCGGTTTTCGATCGATGTTTTCCCTGCTGTTTCTGCGGGCCTTGCTGTGGGCCGATTCGTTCGTGTTGGGTGCCTGGGTGGGGGCCACAAACCTTCTGGGCTCAAGGCTGTGTAAACGAAAGGCTGGACCGCGATCCCCCCTGAGGCCTGCGTGCCTGCCTTGCCAAGTCTCTCCACCTCCCTGCTCCCCTCCATACCTAGCCAAGCAGGGCGCGCGGGAGAATGGAAAACTTGCAACTAACTCCGCAGACGAGAGCACGGCCTTGGCGGTGGTGCTTGTGTCGCCACGTGTCGGCTGGACCTTCCTGTCGTGCCGTGTGTGCGCCGTAAGCACAAGATGCAGAGCGTGCCGGACAAGGCATAAGAGACAGCTGTGCTGGCCCGCGAGGACAGAGGCCGGTGTGCTTCGGTCCTGCATACAAGCAGCGCCGAAGGAGGGTGGCCCTGGGCTTTAGATTGGACCGCAATGCCCGGCTTTCCCTCCTGGGCACGACCGCCATGGCAACACCACACACACAGCCCTGGCACCGTAGCCTGGGTGGCTTCGCGGCCTGTCAGCCGCTTTCTGGACCGTGCGGTCCGAACCTGAGTCGAGGGACAGTGACGCCGGCAGTGTGGTGACTGCAACAAGCCCAGGGTCGGATGTTCCGCGGAGGGGCTGGAGGGCAAAAACATGAACTCACTCGCGGCATCGGTCCCCCGAGGTCCCACCGCCACCCATCACGCCGCTTTTCTGCTTTCTGCTTTCTTCTTCGATTCTGTCTCCATAATGCCAGAATGCGCCCGCTACCCGCGCGCGTCAGACTCGACCGGTACTTGCAGCAGAGGATATAAATGGAGGCAGATGGGGTTTGGAAACATGATAAGAATAGTCAGAAATGCAGGTGCCGGAATCCGCCTGCGCTGCGAGGAATGCGCGCGCCTACTCGGGCTGGTGTCCCCCTCAGTGTCAGCGACGTCAGCCACGAGTGGGCCCGTGGGAAGGAAGGGGGATCCGCACCAGAGACTTGAGAGATCGACAGGGACGGTTGCCTAATCTGGTAGTTCGGCTGGGCTGGCACGATTGCCCTTGGTTGGGTTGGGTGGCCCACGGCCCCACCCCTGCCTCTGTCCCGAACAAGGAATGTGGAAATCAGGTTTGAGCTATTTTGTGTTTGTTTCTGTCTGCTTTCACGTCTTTGTTTCTAACCAACCAGCCGTCATCAAATGGGGGCGCTCGGTTCCCTCTAAATTGCTCAGGGGGGCGATGGCTACGCCTTTTTTTCTTCTTTTCTTTTCCTTTTTTTTCTTTTTTTTTTCCGGGAACAAATTGCCAAGTTTCCGTTTCCTTGGCCGGGACTGAATGAAGAAGAAAAAGAAGGAAAAAGAAGGCGCCCCAACATGCACACACTCTACCAGCGTCTTCTTGGCGCCACCGTTGGCAATCTACGGTCCGCAAGGCAACGGTCATCGGCAATTGACAGTGCCAGTGTCTTGGGCATCTGATGGTGGTGTGTTGAAGCCCCCCAAGGCGGCCCTCTGCCACCCACCCACCGCCGCTACCAAGTGGCTGCCGAGACCTGAGAGGACTTTTACAAATCTACTTCTGCCGAAAAAAAAAGGTGGTAAAGGATACCGGGAACATGTCCGGTTGGTGATGAGCAGGAGGGAAAAAAAAGAGTGACACGTCCGGCGGCATGTGATATCGACGCGTCAGGCACAAAAAAAAAAAAAAAAAGGCTCCGGCTCGGGTTTTCTGCTGGGTATTGCTACATGACCACACCCTCACGGAAGCAAAAGACATGGTCTAGACACGTGCAATGGATCCCAAGGGCCCCTCAAAACAGGCACGGCAGGGGCACGCCTCAATATCGCCCCGTCGCTGGCGGCAATCTCTTGGCGGGGGCCCAACAACCACGGGTTTCCCAGCCCTACAGTGCACTTTGACTGTCCCCTGGCCTTTCCGCTGGCTGTTTTGCTTGCCACGCTCATCCAGAAGCGGAACTTTATGGTCTGGCCCAACCGATTGGCTGATTTGATCGACCTGAACAATGGGGCCTCCCAGACGGATGGATCATCACCCTGAACAGCTCGGACATGTAAAGAGTGCTCCGGTGTTGGTCCGGGCCCTTTGCCGCCTGCAGCCGTGGTTGACAGGACGATCGGCGGTGGGCTTGCAGCTATGTGAGTGGCAAAGCCCTTGAGACCTAAAAGGCAAACCGCCTAGCGATGAGGTAGGAGAGCCGTAACGTTGGTGCGAGCAAAAACAAATACGAAGGGCAACGTAACCGAGAGCCAAATAAACATGGGCAATACGTTAAGGAGTATCACAAGTGGGAAAGGACGCAAAAACGTAGCGGGTATCAAGGAAGTCAACCAAGTCGGAGACAGGGATTCATCACTGCACCGCAGAGAGTGCTCGCTCGATTAATCATCCTACTTCACCGGCACAATGCGACATTATCATCCATAGTCGTCATCCATCACCCGTCGTCTTTCCCGTTGGACTGCACCCCGTTGGCCACCGCGGGGCCCGACACGCCCTCCGACGTCCCGCCGCCGCCCCTGGTAACGCTCTTCTTGGTGGCGAGGCTGATGAGGTAGTCGGCTGCGTCTCCGTTGCCCTCAATCTTGCTGAGTCTGGTCTTGAAGTGTCCGAGGTCATGAAGGATCCTGCCGTCACACACATGTTAGCTTTTACCACCGAGAAGAGCCGTCACGTCGCGTGGAGCCGAGGGCTCAAAAAAAAAAAACGCACCTATCCCGGCCAGCCTCGGTCCTGACCTCGACCGCAATGATCACCTTCCCGAGCTGCTCCTTGTAGCTCCCAAAGACGGGCTGCATGATGAAGTGCACCGTGCCCTCGGGTAGCAGCTTGATCAGGTTCTTGTAGAGTGTCAACGTCTCCTTGGTCAGCGTCTCCATGTAAGGGTGCACCACCGCATCGTCTTCCTCGGCCCCCGGCGCGTCCCAGTCCAGGGCTCGCATCGTCTTGGCGTGCGTCGCCGCGCGCTGGCTCATGATTTCGACCAGCTTGTCGTAAATGTTGTTTTGGTGTTCCTGGTACAGGCGCCGTACTTTGTCGAACTCGCCCATGAGACCTGCCGCCGAGTTGGGCGCTGCCGCCTCGTTGCTGTTGGGCCCCGAACCGCCTCCGCCGGGCTGCTGTTGCCCGGCCGGGACGTGCCGGCGCACAAATTCGCGAACGTGCGGTACCAGCGCGGCCACGAAGCCGAGCGCCTGCGACGCGATGGCGAGGTGCTTGGTCGTGATATTTTTGAGGCCTGCCGACCGCGTTGCGCCCGCTCCCAGGATGAGCTGCGTGCACCGCGAGTTGAATAGCTGCAAGTACGACACCAGCGACGCCGACACGTCGGCCGTTATGGACGGGATCCCCACCGCTAGGTGCAGGAACTGCGTTATGCCTTCGAGGCAGAGCACCGCCGAGTGCGGGAGGAGATACGTCTCGTCATCCATGACAGCACCTCGCGTCTTGGGCTTGGCGGCGGCACCATTTGCCTGAGCCTGCTCGAGGTCTTCCTCGCCGTCCTGATCTGCCTCGCTCTTGTCTGGCCCCTCGACGGGAATCCAGATCTTGCCCCCCTCGGACCACGCCTCCGCATCCCTAGTGCTGCAGGCCAGGAGTCGGTGGAGTAGGCCCGTGTCGGCGTCGGTGAAGTCGTGGACGCCCCATTGGTCCTGCTCCATGCCCTGTGCTAGCTTCTGCTTCTCGGCGTCGCCGTGCACCTGCACGAAATCGCGGATTTGCCCGTTCACAACCGTCTTGAGCGTCGTGCCGCTACGGCCCGAGATGGACTCGCACTCGTTGGCAAAGTGGAGGTTGAGGGTGAAATAGCGCAAGAACCACACTAGCGGCAGCCGTGTGCTCTGCTCCGTCCGCACCCGTAGGAGCTTCACTATCTTGTCCTGCGAGATGTCGACCGCTTGCCCGAGCAGGTTCGACAGCTCGAGCGCCTTGTGTATCTCTTCCTGCGCCTCAAGCCCCGCGATAGAGGTCCTGCGGTTCATCGGGCTGAACGGCGGCGATCGAAGAGGTGGTGACTTGAGCCCGTCTAGGCCTGCCGATTCGATGCCGATGGAGCTGGCGACGTCTAACAGAAGCTTCCCCTGTGTAGTTAATCTCCTGAGAGTCTCGGTGACGCTGATGTATATCCTGATCAGCAGCTCCTCCGCGTCTTCCCTTTCGAGCGATCGTAGGTTGCGAGCAAGGGCTGAGGACTTTTGCTGCGCGTTCCTTTGCCTGCCCGCGCCACCCATCGTCGAAGACGACATCATCGACTCGGCATCGTCGTCGTTGGAGCTAGGCAGGGGTTTCCTTATGAGATTCTTGATCTCCCTCAGCGCCACGTCGCGGAAGGCCGCCGTAGCGACCGCCAAGTGCTTGGATCGCTGTAGACCCCCGAGGATGGCTGGCAGGGCCATCCGCAAGCTCTCCTGATTCGCCATATACGAGGGAAATACCGAAGGCTCTCTGGCGAGCGCCCCCCTGGTGCGGTTCGAGGCGGCACTCCAGCGCATGAGCACCTCCTGGTGGGAAACCTCCTCCAGGTGCCTGCGCAGGTCGCCCAACAGCAGCTCTACGAGCTTGGCCTCGTACGCCCTGCCTATTCGGTAACGGAGGACGTTCATATCGTCGTGGACGCCCTGCAGGGCCGAGGCACCCCTCAGGTCGCGTAATTGGTAGCGGGGGACGACGGGCCGGTTGAAGCCGTTGAAGGGCTCCACACGGCCGTCTATGAGATCTTCAAGCGCATCGATGCTATCGAGTGCCTGATCTATTTGCCCTTCGTCCACGAGGGCCTCACACCTGCCGACCCCCTCCACAATGTCGCGCAGCTGTAGGGTTGCGTCGTGCAGCTGCTGCAGGTTCTCGCGTCTACGCCGCTGCTGCATAATGCCGAGGCCCCGCGTGACGACCTCGTTGTCCAGGGCCTCCAGCTCGCTCCGCAGAGACTTTATCCGCTCTACCGACTCTGCCGCCTCGGTGTGCAGGCCTTTGAGAGAGCCCAGGGCCATGAAGAAGGTCGTTGAAGCAGCCGAGATGGACGAAATGAGGTGCATCTCGACAGTATCCATGTACCACGACAGCTTCTCCTGTAGGATCGCATTTGTCGCCAGAGCCTTCCTTGGCGCTGGCGTGTTTCCGTTGGTAGCGGCAGCAGGCTTGTCGTCGCCGCCGCCCGCCGAGGTTTGCCTGATGACCTCGGAGCGCTCGCTAACGATGTCGAAAGTGCGGGGATTCTCGAGGTGGAACTCGTCATCGAAGTAGACGTTCGGAATGGTCGACAGCGGCGGCGGGCCCTGGGCTGCCCTCTTGGCGAAGCTGGAGCTTGCGCGGCGGCCTGGGGTCGTTGGTGGCTCGAGCGACGAGGCTATGGAAGACACAGAGATGACTGATGACACCGAGCTCTTCCGTTTCGGTGCGACTGCGGGTCGCTTCCCCGGGCGGAGGTGTTTCCCATCGTCATGGCCCTGCGGATGATCATCCTTGCTGCCCAGGCGGCGCGAAGCATCGGCGCCCTCCTCCTCGCTCTCCTTGGCGCGCCGTAGTTGCTCGTACAGAGCACCAACCTGCGTTAGGTAAGGTCGGAATTCGGAGGCGTCGATGCGTTGGATGTTTGTTAGGGTCACGGGTGGGATATCTCTTGTTGTCGGCGGCCTATGTGAGGACGAGGACGGCGCTGACGTGTGTGGCAGGAGGCCCGTCCTGACTATAGGGGGCTGGAGCAGTGTCGATATTGCTGCAGGGAAGGATCTCGGGGTTAGTCGGGACTAGAGGCCGACGAGAGTGCGGCATTAGTCGCATCACATACCGTTTTGCCCAGACTCCACGACCGCGTTTCCCCAGCTCCCAAACGACGAGTCCAGCGCTCCGCCGATGGAGTGGATGGAGCTTGCCGTCGAACCCCTCCTTCGGACCTGGAGAGAATTGCTCGTTGAGCTCTGCCTGTGAAGGGGGAGGGGTGTCAGTCAAAGCACTGGAGCATCTGATGTCGTGCGCGGCGGTCGAGGGGTAGTGCGGCTGCTCTCGTACCTGGAGTGGAAGGGGAAGTCATGGCGCGAGCCGTGTGGGGACGTTGGCGACAAGCTGTCCATTGACTTCCGCCCGCTCTCGTTCTCGTGCATGTTTGACAGCCTCCGCGCGAAAGGCGACGGAGGTCAGGGCATGACGGGACGGCAGGGGGAGGCCGTCGGGATCTGCTGATCCAGGGGCAGCGGCCGGGTGGAGGGCGGGCTTCGACGGCTTTCTTTCAACTTGCGACCATGTCCAGCGCAGCGCAGTTGGAGACAGCCTCGGGGTCGGCAGGATGTTCGGTTCCCAGGGTGCAAGCTGGGCGCGTCGTGTCGCAGCAAAGTCAAGGGGGATGTCGTCGTGACGAAAGGCGGTCTTGCCGACTCTTCAGCTGTCCGTTGGGCGATTGGGTGGTAGATATGCTAGAATGCGCCGTGTTCTTGGGTCCTTCCTTGCCAAGCACAGCGCCAAAGACGCCATCTCATCAAGGCCAGCTAAACCTCGACAACGCTGACTGTGCTGCGGCCAACCGCGGCCCCGAAGTTCAGCCGAATAAAGGAGCTCCCGATGGGGCGGCACCACGTGATGACAGCGATTCGGCCGCATCGATAATGTAAGCACTTTGACTCGACGCGAAATTCAGATGCCAGCACGAATCGACGCGTCTCGCTGGCCCCTGTTACTGCTGGCGATTCCCCTCCCTGCACTGGGATTCCCCACCACAAACCTGCCCGCCATTGTCGCATCGCAAACCACAGCTACGCCCTACGACGACCCTCGCAGCCAGGACTGCGTCGATACGAGCCTTTCTGGTGGCATCTTTCACCCTTTCAGTCTTGTAAAGATAATACCCCCAGGTTTGAGGTCACCGCCATCAATATGGACCGCCAGAGCGCCTTCTCGGTCCACGCCTACTCGGCCAATTTCGAGCAGGGCGAGGACTCCAACGTGCAAGTTCAGGAGCAGCTGTTGCAGTTCATTCTCGACTTCAGACTCGAGAACAAATTCGTTTACAGGTAGGGCCCTGACGACTTCTTTCTTCCGCGGCCGTTCCAGGCGGGCCTGCATAGCAAGTAGTTGACCTGTGTCGTGCTACCACGGATCCAGGGACCAACTGCGTGAAAACGCCCTGCTCCAGCGCTTCTACTGCGATGTCAACATCGGCGATCTGATCAAGTTCAACGAAGAGCTTGCGCACCGGTTGGTCACCGAGCCGACCGAGCTTATACCCCTGGTACGAACCGATGTATATGCGCCGCCCTCTCGCCGCCCTGATGAGGCCGTTTCTGACATGTGAACCGACGCTGGCGGTCAGTTCGAGAATGCGCTGCGGAAAGCCACCCACCGCATCGTCTTCCCCCACAAGCAAAAGGTCGACCTGCCGGAACACCAGTTACTACTGCACTCGAATGAGGAGGACGTGTCGATCCGGAAACTCGACTCGATGACCATCTCACGCCTGGTGCGCGTCCCGGGTATCGTCATCGGTGCCTCTGTCATGTCCTCCAAGGCCAACGCCCTGACGGTGCAGTGCCGCAACTGCGCGCACACCTTTGACATTCCTGTATCGGGCGGTTTCAGCGGTGTCAGCCTCCCGCGTCGCTGCGAGAGGCACAGGGTCGCCAACGACCCGACGGAAAAATGCCCGCTCGACCCCTATTTTGTCATGCACGAGAAGTCTCGGTTTGTAGACCAACAGGTCGTCAAGCTGCAGGAGGCCCCCGACGACGTGCCCGTCGGCGAGCTACCGCGTCATGTGCTCATTTCGGCGGACCGCTATCTGACAAATCGGGTTGTGCCTGGTTCTCGTTGCACTGTTATGGGCATCTTTTCCATCTACCAGAACAAGGGGTCCAAGAACTCGACTAGTGGCGCCGTGGCCATCAGGACGCCGTACCTGCGTGCCGTGGGGATTCAGACCGACATCGACACGGCATCGAGGGGTACTGCCACATTTTCGCCCGAGGAAGAGCAGGAGTTCCTGGAGCTCAGCAGGCGCGAAAACATCTACGAGCTGCTAACAAGCTGCATCGCGCCGTCCATCTACGGAAGCACTGACATAAAGAAGGCTATTCTATGTCTCTTGTTTGGCGGTTCCAAGAAGATCCTGCCGGACGGCATGAAGCTGCGTGGCGACATTAACGTGCTCTTGCTGGGAGACCCGGGTACCGCCAAATCACAGCTGCTCAAGTTTGTGGAAAAGGTGGCGCCTATCGCCATTTACACCTCTGGCAAGGGTTCGTCGGCGGCTGGCCTCACTGCGTCAGTACAACGGGACCACACGACTCGTGAGTTCTACCTCGAGGGCGGCGCCATGGTGTTGGCCGACAACGGTGTAGTATGTATCGACGAGTTCGACAAGATGCGCGACGAGGACCGTGTGGCGATCCACGAGGCCATGGAACAGCAGACGATATCCATCGCCAAGGCGGGCATCACTACGATCCTTAATGCACGCACTTCGGTCCTGGCAGCGGCAAATCCCATCTTTGGACGGTACGACGAGCTCAAATCGCCCGGCGAGAATATCGACTTCCAGACCACCATTCTGTCTCGATTTGACATGATATTTATCGTGCGCGACGAGCACGAGGCTGGCAAGGACCAGCGCATAGCGAAACACGTTATGGCGCTGCATCAGGGCCGGGCAACGGCCGAGGTCGAGGCTGAGACGGAGATACCGTTTGACAAGCTAAGACGGTACATCAGCTACTGCAAGTCGTGAGTGGCCCGCTTCCATCGGGAAGCTGTCTGAGAGGATGGCGGTGAAGGGTGCTAATACTAGAACCCTTGTCGTTTTTAGTCGATGTGCACCCCGTCTCAGCCCCGAAGCGGCTGAGCGGCTGTCTTCTCACTTCGTCACTATTCGGCGGCAAGTTCATGCAGCCGAGATGGAGTCCAACGCACGGTCGTCAATTCCCATCACGGTCCGGCAGCTCGAGGCCATTGTACGCATCACAGAGTCGCTGGCCAAGATGTCGCTGTCGCCGATAGCGACCGAGGACCACGTCAAGGAGGCAATTCGGCTTTTCCTGGCGTCCACGCTCGACGCGGTCAACCAGGGCGCGGACCAAGGGTCACGCGAGGTTAACGACGAGGCCGGAAAGGTGGAGGCGGAGCTGCGGCGGCGGCTGCCCATCGGCTGGAGCACGAGCTTCGCGACGCTGAGGCGCGAGATGGTGGAGGGCAAGGGGTTCAGCGAGATGGCCCTCAACCGGGCGCTCAAGATCCTCCAGCGCAGAGAGACTATTATGTTTAGGAACCAGGGGGCGCAGATTTACCGTAACGGTGCTTAATATCTTCTTTTTCCTGTTTGTAAATACACCGAAACGATGGTGTAGGGTAACGCGCATGACGGGATGACATGGAACACAAAACGGCCCTGTACCGGAATCATGTGCGGATCGGAATGTCGGTGTTTTAACAAAGCGCCCGAACGCTGAAAGCCGCGCTGCGAGTGCCATCCAATAATAAAGGCGTAGCCCGGTGGATCATGTTTGTGTGGGAGCTCCTTGCGTCGTATTTTCGTATAGCACTTCGTATGCTAGGAGGTAACATCCAGTATTCGGATCGGCTGATTTCGTGGAATCAGACCATGGCCTGGGTGCTGCGGGAATTACACTAGGCTGGACAAAGGAAGCCCGCTGCCCTGCTCAACCGTGCCAACCCCGTTAACCACTCCAAATGCGGTGTGTCGTATGTATGGGACACAACAGTACTGTGCACAGTCCACCGGCCGAAGCGGTCCCGGCTTGACTCGACGGCCGGGTCATCCTACGAAGAAGCAAGGGGAAATCCTCTCCCATGATTGGGCCGCTCCACTCTCGGCAAAAGCAGAAGCCGTGGCGGCCGCGTACAGGTCCCAGGGATCACAAACCCTAGTGCGGTGGATGCAAGATACATTTTCTTCCTTAGAAAACCAAGCCAAACTGATGTACCATCAGGATCCACCGTACTAGGATTTGTGATCCCTGGGACCTGTACGACAAGACATTATGCCCTTTTCGTATGCGTCGTATCAGATACGACGAGGGGGGAGGGAGAGCACGCGATGCTGTTGATCAGCGCTGTCGAGGGAAGGTGGATGGTTTCTGGGCCTTTTTCCCACGAACCGGGCGCTGGACACCACTCGCTCTGTCGGCTGCCTGGCTAGACCAAGACGCCGGCCCAATCTTACAGCGCGTCGTGCCAAACTTTGCTTCCTTCCCGACAGGGAAATCTCAGCCGCTAGCCGATCTTTTTGTGTACTGATAACCCAACCTATCACCAACAGCACTCCGCACGAGACTGGCGTATCGATATCCCAGAAGCGTGTCCGAGGTTATAGTCCGAATACGATTACAGACATGCGAGTGACCGACATTGCTGCCTCCTTGCCAAGGAGCACGGGCTGGCGGCGGGCTTGTCCCCCCCGCCCCTTGGTGGCCTTGCACCGGACTGGCACTAGAGCCAGCCAACCAGGCTTCTGGCATTTGCATCCACGCGCGCCCGACGTCAGACTCGCCCAGCAGCGCGGCGTCTCGATGGTCAAGCTGTGCGGATTTCGGGTTCCATATTATCTGCGATCCTAAAAGGTGACGGCAGATGGGCGGCAGGGTTCCTCCTCGTCGCGACGGATGGGGGAGGAGGGTCCACCATCCTATTGGATGGATCGGCTACTGCCACACAAACCCATGGCTGGATGGTTCGGGGGATGGCACCGAGGGGGGCAAGGCAAGGCGTTCCCTGTTTGCTCTGCGTTGCTTGGCTCGCTGCTGCATGCTACCCCGTGCTTTCTTTTTTTTTTTTTTTAATCCATGTCGAGCAACCGGTCTCCGTCCGCCCCGCAATATGGGAGGGGCTGACAGATCTCAGACGGGCCCAGGCGGGCGGGTGCGGACGGCTGGCTGCCTATAAGTGGATGAATCCCGTCACTTCTTTGCTCTGCGGTTTGCCTCCTGCATGTCTTGACTGGCTATCGTGGTCGGCTCGAACGGACGACTGCAGCCCTTTTCCGATACATACGACAAACCCCTGGAAAGGAGGAAACAAGATCAGATACAAAGACCGTGCGGGCACCAACCCAACGCAGTTTCGACCCACGGACCGTTCGTCCTAAAAGTTCGCCCAAGATGGCGACGGCACAGCTGGCCGATGTCCTGACCGACAGGCTGCCGCTGGTGTGCTCGGCAGTGGTCGTCCTCGCCTTCACGCTGATCGCCCAGTATCTGCTAAAGGGAGACCCGCTCGCGGCCTTCCCCTTCGCCGGCGAGGGCCTGCACAGCGAGCAGAAGAGGAGGGAGGCGTACCTCACCAACACCAAGTCGGTTTACATGGAAGGCTACCGCAAATTCAGGGACACCGTCTTCAAAGTCACAACGTCCACCAGTAGGCAGGCCCCCTTTTTCTGCCAACATTGTCCTTTGCTGACGAATTGCGATAGACAAGGATGTCGTCGTTGTGCCGATCAAGTTTCTTGACGAGCTCAAGAAGTTGCCCGATGATGTCCTGAGCTTTGACGCCGCCATCGAGGAGCTCATGGTCAGCGACTACACCAAGCTCATCCCCGGCGACCAAACCATCCCCCACGTTGTCAAGGCGAGCCTCACCCCTGCTCTGGGTACGTATTCGGATCTCTTGCGGAGACGCTCCCCCCCTCACCTAGCACTTGGAACCTAACAAGCAGCGCCACTTGCAGCCAAGCTCAACCCCATCCTGACCGAGGAGGTGGCGCGCGCCGTCCGCTCCGAGATGCCGGCGTGCCCGGACTGGACCGACGTCAACATCTACCAGAAGCTTCTCCGCATCGTCGCCATCGTGTCGGGCCGCATCTTCCTGGGCCCGGAGCTGTGCCACGACGAGGCCTACCTCGACGCCGCCATCAACTACACGGTCGAGCTCTTCAACGCCCGCAACGCTGTCGTGCAGATCAAGCCCTGGCTCCGCCCCTTCCGCGCGCCCTTCCTGCCCGAGGTGCGCCAGCTGCGCGCGCGCGAGGAGACCTTCAACGCCGTCATCCAGCCCATCGTGGCCGCCCGCCGCGAGGCCGAGCGCGCCGACCCGTGCTACGTCAAGCCCGACGACATGCTGCAGTGGATCCTGGACGGCAAGGCCAAGGACGTGGCCAAGGGCGCCGCCGCCGAGATGACGGACCGCCAGCTCGCAAAGCTCCAGCTCTCGCTCAGCCTTGCCGCCATCCACACCACCTCCATGATGGTCACCAACGCCTTCTACGACCTCGCCGCCAACCCCGACGTCATCGCCGAGCTGCGCGAGGAGTGCTCCGCCGCCCTGGCCGCCAACGGCGGCGTCTTTACCAGCCCTGCCCTCCAGAGCCTCAAGAAGCTCGACAGCTGCCTCAAGGAGACCCTGAGGGTGAATCCCCCTGGATTCAGTAAGCTTCCCTCCATTTCTGCAGTATAACATGTTCTACACACACACGCACACACACACACACCAAGATAAATATACTCACACCACACCAAAACAGCCTCCTTCACCCGCAAGGTCCTCAAGCCCATCACGCTCTCCAACGGCCAGCTGATCCCCGCGGGCGTGACGCTCGAGGTGGCCGCGTACCCGCAGTCGCGCGACCCGGAGCCGTACCCGGAGCCCGAGACGTGGGACGGCCTGCGCTTCTACCGCCTGCGCGAGGCCGGCGAGGACTTCAACGCCAAGAGCGCCGGCCGCCAGGGCTCCGCCGTCGAGGCCAACGCCCACAACCAGTTCGTCAGCGTCAGCCACCGCAGCCTCGTCTTCGGCTACGGCCGCCACGCCTGCCCGGGTCGCTTCTTCGCCGCAAACGAGATCAAGATGATCGTCGCGCGCTGCCTGCTCGAGTACGACATCAAGCTGCCCGACGGCGTGGCGCAGAGGTTTCCCAACTTTGAGTTTTCCGGAGCCGTGAGTTTTCCTTCTGCCTTGTTTTGATCCCACGGGGGGCGCGTAACTAACCAGGTTGGTCGATATAGATTGTCCCAGACCCCACCAAGACTCTCTTGTTCAGGGAGGCGCGTTGAAATGGTAGATTTATGGATAAAGACTCGGCGGCATCGACGCTGAATGTTTTAAGACTGTTCGTGCTTTTGCGTCATTATTTCTATTGTCTTGGACATGTAATACCGTCTCTGGGTAAAGAATTCTTTCTTTTGCTGCTAATATCTCTCCTTACCGTCTCTGGGTAAAGATTTCTTTCTTTTGCTACCAATATCAATCCTTACCCTCACCGCTAGTCCGAATGGCCCCATCCCAAGACATCACCTTATGCAAGTACCTCGTCCTAGCCTGGTCCTACCGGTACGGAGGCACCGGAAAAGACTCGGCGTGAAGATAAAGATAAATCTCGTGCCAGGTCATGTTGGTAACCGGGATGTCCCGGATGAACGAAGCAAAACAATCCTCCCAAGTATAGCACAGATGTCTTGCCTTGGCCTGTCGCTCTGTAGTGTAGGCTGCGTCGCCGATGGTGATTTTCTGGTCTTTAAACCGTTCGTCAATGACATCGAGGAGCGTCACGGGATGGCCTGGGCTATGGGCGACGTGCCACAATAAGAAGTATTTCCCTAGAGTGTCTTTCGATCTAATGATCTCATCCTCCAAGAAATCGGTGTTGTTATCATCCTCCCTCGATGGCATGGCTTGGCTGGCAGGGCGAACTGTGGTGATGGGTGGACCATATGATCCGGGCAGTCGCGGATCGTCGGCATAACTACTATTCCAACTCGGAAGTTTCGATTTGGCGGGCCTCCCAACAGCGACTAGAGTGAGATGAGGAATTGGGTCGGGATTGCCAAATACATTTACAATTAAATGGACCGGGGGGGAAGTAAGAAGCCAATAGGAATCAAGATGTGAACCAAAATAGGAAAAAAAGGATGTAAAATGAGAATAAAAGGAAAGAAGAATAAGTGGGCGGGAAAATAAGCATAAGAACAGGATGGCATAAAAATAAAATGGCATACGAATGGGAGGGCATAGGAATAAGCATAAGAACAAGCATTAGAACAGGAGGTATATAGCAGCAGCAAATGAAGGTGCAGCCATAACTCAATTACCCCTTTGGAAGGTCGGCAGCCGGTCAAAGACGCTTAGAGCGATGCCACTATGAGGCGGCGGCGGCGGCGGCTGCGGCGGCGGCTACCTTCACCGTTGCCATAAATGCGTCGTACGCCGCTTGGTCCTCTCCCTCAATGAGGCGCCTTGCTGTCGTAGCATCGTGAACGCTCACGATGCCATAGTATCCGTGCACGTACGGAAAGACGCACAACGAGGGGTTCGACGCCAGGAGGGCGTTGGCGTCGGTGAAAAATTCGTGAAAAATTCGGCGACTTTGTATTGTGTGTAGTCGTCGCGCTTGAGCGCCTCGGTCGAGTCGCCCTTGGCAACCAATTCGAACCGATGGATGACGACCCGCAGCTCGACCAGACGGCTGAAGAAGCGCGCCCACGTGTAGGCGGACGCCGCATCGGCGCAAACGTTGGCGGGCCTGAGGGAAAGCGCCTTCTTGCGCGGGTCCTTGCTGTAATTGTAGAAAAGGTTCTCGAGTTGTTGCCCTATCGCGACATTGGACAGTTCTAGCTTCTCGAGGAAGGGCATGTGAAAGACGCTGCGGGCAAGGGCATCGGGCAGCGGCGGGGTTTGTTCCAGCCCTTCATAATTCGAGTCCAGGATGCCTAGAGGGGCGTGGGGCGAGCCGTGGAACTTGAGGCTCTTGACGGAGGAAAGCTGGTCGAAGATGCCCGATGGGAAGTGATTGAAGAAGTTGCGGTAGTTGTCTTGGGACAAGATGCACTCCTCGCCGAAGATAGAGAGTTTGAAGCTGTCTACACGGCTGAGGACGAGGTTCAACTCGTACCTTCCGATCTCCGAGATGACAACGGGTGGCAGATGGAGAATCGACAAGGCCTTGACGTGCGGCGTGGGGTGTTCTGGGTCGGCCAAGGTTCCGAGGACGAGGTCGACCATGTGGTCGTTCGCTCGCGACAGACGTTCTAGACCATCCTTGTGCCGATTCCTACCAAAGTAGAGCGATTCGTGGTGCGGCCCAAACGCGACGGTATCCGGGAACTGGATTACCAGCTTCTCGAGGCCCGGGAACCGCGTTCCGTCCTGGGGGCTACTAATCCGGATCAGAGTGAGGGCCATGTCCGGAAGCGTTGGGTCATCAGAGTCGTCGTCCTCCAGACCCTCGTCGTCGGCCGAGGCCTGGCCACAGTCGCAGTCACTGCCGCGACACGGGAGGACCCACGACCAGCCTCAGCTCACGGACCAAATGGCCGTACCGTTTGGCCACCACGAGAGCCGAAATCGACGCGACCTCGTCCCGGATGGCGACGGATATGGCCCTAAAAAGGTGCCCTTGGTGGATAGCGATCTCGCGCAGGTGGCGGGCTGCGCTACTAAAGCGCACCTGGTCATTGAGGTCGAGCGAGCTGTAGATCTTCAACAACAACTCGAGCGGTAGCTTGCCAAGCAAATTTGCACTCATTTTTCCGTCCAGGTTTGGGAAACGAGCGCTTGTTTGCCTATGGATTTGGGCGGTGAGTTCGATTTTGGGTTCTGACTGTTGGTCGTCCCGAGGCCGTCCGCCAAGTAAGTCGTTAACAACACAATTCGAACCTTTATTCTATCGTGCCTGCCGTATCACGCCCAGCAGGAAGCACGAGGTGGGGACCAAACACCACGATGCCGGCGTGCTTCGAGAGACTGGACGCAAATAAAATTACTAACAAGTAAAACGCAAGGTTTGGAATGGAAGGCACTCTGCATCATTTTCTACATTACTCTTCCCATTTAGTTCTGCATTTCCTTTTTCCCCTTTGTATTCCTATTCCTATTCGTATTCTTTATGCGCTCTTGCTCTTTTCTCGACAACTTGAACAGCTGTCAAACCTCCTATACCATGTGCGCAACGCCTTGGAGCTTGCTGTGTTGAGCGACAAGTCCTTCAAGGCAAATCACCGCCTTGACTAGTCGAACCGACAGGTCCCCGACGGGCAGCATCTGCTCCGGCGTCTCGGGACTTTACATATCCAAGTTTAGCTATCGCACTCGCATCGGCGGCTTATGCGGCAGCGAGCCGAGCGCCTGGGGCCTTGGGCTTCGCCCGGACCGCCGGACGGGCCGGGGTCAAGAGCGAAGGGATACCTATTTGTAGAAAATGCCTTCTTCGAGGCGGTCCTGTGGGCCGCGGCGAGGGGGAAGTGTGAGGCTACGGGATCAAGTGCTCGGGCATGATTCTTTAGCCGTGTGTCTGCTCCCGGAATAATTTTCGCCCGGGTAAGTCCGAGAGGGCATCGACGTTGTCCAGGCAGAGCAAGACCAAGTTGAGTCGGTGTACGCGTCACCCAATACATCCTCCCGCGGAGGACCTCGCCGGGCTGTTTGGTAAGGCGAGAAGGTGTTTGCAGGTGCGTGTTCATTGCAAAACCTGGGAAGACCGTAGGTAATTTACGCGCCGATCCGTTCCAAGTTGGTGGAACAATTCAAGGAGCAAAGGCGAGTTAAGCCAAGCGGGCGTTGCGAGATGATGCGGAAATGATGTTCTAGCCACCCTCGTAGAAACAGATAGTAGCTCGCGAGAAGGATCGTCGTAGTCGGTTTTGGGCTCTGTAGTGGGGAGTTTATTGGATGCAACCCTCCCTCGCGGATACAGGTAAGACTCTTGGTCGCCCCATCGGCAGATGGTACCCAGATCTCTTGGCCATTTCGATATCCCCGGGGTCCGGCCGGCCGTGGTTCCCGATCCTTCTAGTGTCAGCAACATACCGGCCCAGGTGGTGGGTGACTGTAGCCCGATACCAGGAATGGCTGTGAGCAGGCACGAAAATCGTCAGCGGCCTCGGCAAAAACGGCAGCCCTCCAGCTGTAGTCAGACGATGCTGGGCCGCCCCATCCCCACCCCCAGATTGCTCGTCATCCGGCAATTCAGGGGCACCAATCAAGGCAGTCAAGCTTTTTCGTCCCGCACTTTCTCGTCGTCGCGCAGCTTTAGCCGCTGCAGGAAACCACCTTCTTAGAGGCGGAGGTTCATGCCGGTTCAAATTGGCGTCGCCCGTCGCGATGAGGCCCATGGATCTCGCCATCCTCGAACCTGCTGATGATGAAACCGGGGCTGCTGTCGTTGGCAGCAGCCGTGGCTCGCTCGGCCATGATCACACCCGACGGAATAAGCTGTCTGCGGGGAGTAGACAGGGCTGGTGAGCCTACACCCGGTCGATTGTTGGGGTTAAACGACAACCGAACGACAACCCCCACCTTCCGTAGTTGAGAATCTGCCAAGCCAAGAGCCGCGGTTTACTTCTGACGAACACGGCATATCTTATGTCTGCTATGGGCTTTGTTTACTAGGGACGACTCAGTTCGACTAGCCTCATATCCGGTATTTTCTGCTTCTGGTATCGAATGTTCGCGGGCACTAGCACTCCGGGCTTTGGCTGGCTTCGGCCGCTAGCAGGTTCATCGAGCTCCAGAACCTATCTTGCGTCGACCACCCTAGTCAACACCGGGCCTCTATGGACCTGGTTTTCTTGCATACTATACACAGGATGCCGCTCGCCGTGGACCGGGGTCTCGACTGAGGTGCTTTTGTCGATCATGGCATCATACGTCGTCAACTGTACCTACGATGTCGCTAGCGGGCTGTCCATACAGCCGGTCTTTTCGAGATCCCCGAGCCACCGCCGCCCCTGGGCCACTTCGCCCCCCCTGCTTGTGCCTATTCCGGGTGCTGAGCTCAGTCACTCACATTCCGCGGTCTGCATCGTACTGGACGGCAATACCTCTGCCGCTTCGAGCCGGTTTCCCTCTCACGCACTTTTTGCCGCCCCATAATCTCCATAGCAGTACGCGTAATGCTGTTTGGCACTTGCGGTATGCTTTAGGGCCGGAACTTCTGCTGTGGTTTCTCATATCATCACGAATGTGCTGGAGAGCTCGGCCCCGATCACTTCATCCCTGGAAATCATAGCTGTTCGTGGCAGCTCAAAGTACCCAGGAATTTATTTACCCGGAGCTTGCCGAGGTTCCCTGGATTGGGGCTCCTGCGAGCCTCATCCCTTCCTGAAGAGGGGATGCTCTTAATGTACCAGACCTATTCTTCCAGATTACTTGCAATATCCTCCCCACGAAGGTGTCGTCAGCTCCAGGAGACACGAGAGTCGTCCATGTTCGTCTAGTGCCCTCCAAGATGGATATATAAGAGGATGGTTGCCCATGCACCGGGAATCATGTTCTTGGTTCTACACCTCGAGCTTGGCCTTCACAACGGCAACCCCTAACTCGAAGCCACCTGTCCCTCTTCCGACAAGCCGCTCAACATGGTGCCCAAGCTTTTTTGGGCCGCCCTTTTCTTCACGCCCGCCGTCCTCGGCGCGGCCCTCCCAGAGGTCCAGGAGAACGTGAGTGGAAGCCCCAAGCTCTCGAGCAATCCAATTCCTCGTGATACTAACATTCTTACACAGGCCTTGGACCTTGGCCGTCGCGATGAGGTTGAGATCGCGTCCCTGCCCCTGGTGGCCCGTGCCGAGGCCAATGTCGTGGTAGCTGGCGAGGCCGCCGCGCCCGAGGAGGTCGACGACGAGGCCGACGTGGCCGACGCCGACAAGAAGAAGAAAAAGAAGAAGCACGGCCACAAGAAGGGAAAGAAGAAGCACGGCCATAAGAAGGGCAAGAAGCACGGCCACAAGAAGCCCCCCCACGACCTCGAGGCTCGCGACGAGGCCGAGGTCCAGGCGCCGGGCGCTGAGGTGGTTGCCGACGACGTCGACAGCGACGCCGACGTGGCCGACGCGGACAAGAAGAAGAAGAAGAAGCACGGGCACAAGAAGGGAAAGAAGAAGCACGGGCACAAGAAGGGCAAGAAGCACGGGCACAAGAAGCACCCCCACGATCTCGAGGCGCGCGAGGAGGCCGCTCTGGCTGAGAGTGTCGTGGCCGACCAGCCTGACAATGAGGCCGATGTTGCCGATGCCGACAAGAAGAAGAAGAAGAAGCACGGGCACAAGAAGGGCAAGAAGAAGCATGGCCACAAGAAGGGCAAGGGCAAGAAGCACGGCCACAAGAAGGGTGGGAACTGACGACTGAACGCCTCCAAGTGCCCGTATAAATGCTGATCTAAATCCGGTCGACCAACAGGTCCCCCTCACGAGTAAGCCAACTCCGAGCGACTCGCCGAGCGCCTCAACAGCAACCTACCGTCGATTAGGTTGGGTGATGAGAGGGGTGAGCTCCAGGCGTGGTTGGTATGCGTCCTATGGCGTCTGGGCCATGGCCAAATGCCAGCCTGGTTCGCTAGCCGGGGACTATTGGGGATTCTTGCAAAGTTTGGCGTGTACTCCTTGACGCACAAACCGATGGGAGAAGGGTTTTACTTCAAGACATTCATTATCTACATATGGACCGTGTAAAATAAAAGCATATGATGCTCTGACGCGTTGCGCCGCGCCTTGCGCCGAGGTTCTTCTGTGGCTTTCGCAGCAATTTTCATATCGCGAGCAGGCATCTGGTACCACGCTTGTATGCCGCCTTGTGCATGTTCGTCTTAGTCCCTCGTCTTGGATCTACAGACAGTACGCATACTTCTAATACCCCCAGTCGAAAGGTCGAGTAGCTAAACAGGTGAAGGTAGTGGCTATAAAAACGCGCCATAGCTGTCTCCCATCGGTAAGGGCCAAGGAGCTCAGATGCACTGGTCCGAACCGCGCTTCAGCGACAAATTAAAGGGAGTGAGACCCCCATGATGGGTTTCGTAACGAGACTGTCCCATAAACTACAAGCACGAAAGCCCCAGAGAGCTTTCGCCATTTTTCATTCTTTTATCTCTTTGTTTCAGTACTAAATGATTTTATCAGATCTAGCCGCGAGACCAAATCGCAAAACATTGATAGAATTGTACGACAACATGGCACTGGACCAACAGGGTAAAATCGGTTGGTTTTCATGTTGGGATGCTGCTGTGTATTTTTTCGCGCAAACATGATTGGTTCATATTTCGGCCCTCCATACCTATCTGATCAATCCCTGCGGGAGGCCTCGCCTAATAACGATGCCGTTTCCCTTAGGTGCCTCGTTTTTTCCAAATGGCGGTTTGCCTCAGGAGTGCGCCCCCAAGCAATCACCATCTTGACAGAAACAGACGCGCAAACTACCACCGCGATTGAGTCCTCAGCGCAGCAATGGGGCTACCTCCCAATGCCAAGGCAGAGGCGGTGGCGGGAACAGCACCAACAGCGACGGCCAGTCTCGATGGCCTAGAAGTGCCAGGACAGCCGCAGCCGCGCGACGAGTTCAAGCCGGGACTCACATTTTACGGCGCCTTTGGCAGCCTCCTGATCGTCAACCTGGCCGCCGCGCTCGATGCGACGTCGCTGTCCGTGGCGCTGCCTGTATGTTTTTCCCCCTAGTGCTACAGGACAAATACATCCCGAGCATTCCGCTCTCGGCCACCCAAGCTAACAGTCCACCCGGGGGAAGATCATATCCAAAGACCTCGGCGGCACGGCCATCGAGGCCTTTTGGAGCGGCACGTCCTTCCTCCTGACCAACACCGTGTTCCAGCTCACCTTCGCATCCGCCTCGCACACCTTCGGCCGCAAGGCCCTGGTGATGCTCTCGCTCCTCCTCTTCACCGCCGGCTCGCTCGTCGCCGCGCTCGCCCCGGGCTTCCCCGCGCTGCTGGCAGGGCGCGCGGTGCAGGGCGCGGGCGTGGGCGGCATCATCAGCCTGACCGAGGTGGTCATCACAGACCTCGTGCCGCTGCGCGAGCGCGGCAAGTGGTTCGGTCTGCAGGGCGCCGTCTGGGCCGTCGGCTCCGTCGCGGGGCCGCCCGTCGGCGGCGCCCTCGCCCAGGCCGGGCAGTGGCGCTGGATCTTCTGGCTGAACCTGCCCGTCGCCGGCGTGGGCGCCGTGGCGGTGGCGTTCTTCCTCCGGCTGCAGCCCGTCCCCGGCGCCCTGGCCCACAAGCTGCTGCGCTTCGACTGGGCCGGCGTGCTGCTGCTGACCGCCGGCGGCACCGCCTTCCTCATGCCCGTCACCTGGGGCGACATTGTCTTCCCCTGGTCCGACTGGCGCTCCGTCGTGCCGCTCGTCGTGGGCGCCGCGCTCGTCGCGCTCTTCGTCTGGTACGAGGCGCGCTGGGCGGCACGCGGCGGCCGCCAGCCGCTGGTGCGCCTGCGCATCTTCGGCCGGCGCACCGCGGCCGTCTGCTACTTCGGCACCTTTGTGCACGGCGTCGTGCTCTGGTGCATGCTGTACTACATGCCGCTCTACTACGAGTGCGTCAAGGGCTACACCCCCGCCATGGCCGGCGTCGCCATCTTCCCGCAGACCTTCACCGTCGCCCCCACCTCCATCCTCGTTGGCATACTCGTTAGCCGCTTCGGCCGCTTCCGCTGGGCGGTCTGGCTCGGCTGGTCGCTGTCGGTGCCGGGGTTGGCCATTCTGTACCTCCTGGACGCCGACACCACCCCGCCGCAGTGGGTGTTTCTGAACCTTGTATCGGGCTTCGGCCTGGGTCTTTTATACACAAGCCTATCGTACGGCACCATTGGCGCCGCCGACGAGCGCGATGCCGGCCAGGCCGCCAGTATGTATGTCTTCTCGCGCTCTCTGGGGCAGTGCGTCGGCGTCTCGGTCGGCGGCGCCGTCTTCCAGAACGTCTTTGCCGCCCGCCTGTCCGAATCCGGCTCCGGCTCCGGCGGGCTGGCCGACCGCGCGGCAGGGCTGGCGCGGGAGGCAAGCGCCCTGGTCGAGGTGGTCCGCGGGATGGACCCGGCCTCGCCCGAGCGCGCCGTCATTGTGAACGCGTACGCAGACGCCCTCAAGGTCGTCTGGGTGTCCATGGCGGGCGTCGCGTTCCTCGCGTTGCTGGCCAGCCTGCTCATGCGGCACATCGACATCACGAGGAGCCTGGAGACGGAGCAGGGACTGCAGGGGAAGCCGGCGGGGCGCGAGAAGCCAACGGCGAGCTCCGATGGTGCCTGAGGTCGACTTTAGGAATATAAACATGCGATGACAGGAACTAGCGCGTAATTGGGAGGGGAGGAGTACCTAATGTTTAATGAGATGCATAACCACAAGGGGAAAATAGATTTGAGATTGTATTTGCAGTAGAGCACGCCTCAGTTGTCACCTTGTGTGTCTGAGCATCTACTGCTAATATGTTCCCGTAAATACTCCCACGGCTACCTAAAATCTCGAGCTTAGGTACCGCGAAACGATCATCAAAAAGGTGGTGATAGTGCAATGATCCCTCTGCAAACCACAAAACGGGCTAGCACTGTAAGACCCCTGCAACCGCTGTGGGCCAGATGCAGGGTCGCCCCGCCCCCGCCGCCGTGGACCTCGGCAAAGTGTCAGCTTGTCTCCACGCTGAGGCAACAAATCGACCCACGCTGAGTCTGGGGAAGGTGTCTGCCTCGGTCGCTCTGGGGTAAGGAATAAGAAGTGACAACATTTATTTCACCTTCTGGACGCAAACCTGCCTGGCTAACCATTGATTGATGCCAACCCATCTCCTGCTTCATACTCCTCCATCTCGATCGCCCTCACGTACCTTGATCCAAAATGTCTGCCAGGATACCCGCAATTGTAAGCTTGGGATCGCCCTCCTCGTCCGCGGCCAGGCCGTCTTTTCTAACAGCCCGTCTCCCAGTGCCGCGACCGCGTGAGCGACCGCGCCAAGCAGACGCTGGACCTCGTCGCCAAGTTCGTTGAGGAGGAATGCCTTCCGTAAGTTCTCGCAATCCTCCTCCCAAAATCCCCCTCCATTCGAAAATCTAATGAGCCCTCGTGGTTTCACCTAGTGCCGACCCCGTCTTCGAAGCACAGCTCGGCAAAGGCGATGACCGGTGGAAGAGCCACCCTGCCGTGGTGGATGACCTCAAGAAGCGCGCGCGCGCGCTGGGCCTGTGGAACATGTTCCTGCCCAAGGGCCACTACAAGGAGTCGCCGGGCTTCACGAACCTCGAGTACGGCCTGATGGCCGAGTGGCTGGGCCGGTCCCGCGTCGCGTCCGAGGCCGTCAACTGCGCCGCCCCCGACACGGGCAACATGGAGGTGATTGCAAAGTACGGAAACGAGGCCCAGAAGCAGCGCTGGCTGGTGCCGCTGATGGAGGGCCAGATCCGGTCCGCGTTCCTCATGACGGAGCCGGGCATCGCGTCGTCGGACGCGACCAACATCCAGATGGAGATCCGCCGCGAGGGCAACGAGTACGTGCTCAACGGCCAGAAGTGGTGGTCCAGCGGCGCGGGCGACCCGCGCTGCGCTGTCTACGTGGTTATGGGCAAGTCGGACGCGGGCAACAAGGACACGTACCGCCAGCAGTCGGTGATCCTGGTCCCCGCCGACACGCCCGGCATCACCATCCACCGCATGCTGAGCGTCTACGGCTACGACGACGCGCCGCACGGCCACGGCCACATCACCTTCAGTAACGTGCGCGTGCCCGTCGCCAACATGGTGCTGGGAGAGGGCCGCGGGTTCGAGATCATCCAGGGCCGCCTGGGTCCCGGCCGCATCCACCACGCCATGCGCACCATCGGCGCCGCCGAGCGCGCGCTCGACTGGATGCTGATGCGCATCAACGACCCCAAGAAGACGCCCTTCGGCAAGCAGCTGCGCGAGCACGGCGTCGTGATCGAGTGGGTCGCGCGCTCGCGCATCGAGATCGACGCCGCCCGCCTCGTCGTGCTCAACGCCGCCATCCGCATGGACGAGGAGGGTCCCAAGGCCGCGCTCAAGGAGATCGCCGAAGCCAAGGTGCTGATCCCCACCATGGCCCTGACCGTCATCGACCGCGCCGTGCAGTCCTTCGGCGGCGCCGGGGTCAGCCAGGACACGCCGCTCGCAAACATGTGGGCCCAGATCCGCACGCTGCGCTTCGCCGACGGGCCCGACGAGGTCCACCTCGCCCAGCTGGGCCGCAACGAGAACAAGCGCGGCAAGGCCGTGGCCGAGTCCATCGAGAAGCAGAGGCTGCGGACCGAGGAGCTGCTGCGCGAGTACAAGCTCACCAGACAGGAGCTGGGGACTGGGATTTCGAGGAGTAAGCTCTAGGCTCATGCGCAGAAAAAGATGCTACGCGATGTTTTTGTATAAATTGGCAAGCTTTCTTCGGCGCCTTAAATCTACCTCTTCGGTCATGTGGTTGGGCGTTTGCCCTCGCATCCGTGTTTGCCTCCAAAGTTGCTGCCCAAAAAAGCGATACGAGAGAAATCACACAGAAAAGAACAAACAAATACTCTCGTCTCGCTCAAATGCCAGCAGCTACACCCGCCACAAACTAAGCACACACTCCAAGAACCGTTTTATCCATTAGTAGGTATTTTGTACATTCGTTATCCCTGCTTCTATTGGCCCGTCTCATGGCATCATGACCCAAAATCCTGGCTGGCCGAATCGTGCGCCGGTCACATCTCTGCTCCGACCGTCCGTCGCTTCTTGAATCCATTACACACACACACAAACACGTCTAATAGGCCCACCCGGAACCCGAGCTCCTACGGCCCTTCTCGTACAGCCATTTGCTGTTCAGGGCCACCGATGTGCGCTTGCCGGAAGAACTCGGGGTGCCCGTCGAGAGGGCCGAAGAGTCGGGGACGAGCGTTGGCGCGGCCGAGAGCGACGATTTCTCGCTCGACAGGGGCGCCGGCGACCCGCCGAACGAGCCTCTGCGCTGGCCGCTCTTGACGGCCTTCTGGAACAGCGGGCTGCCGCCGACGCCGCCGGGCGAGAACGGGGAGAACGGGGAGGCGCCGCCGCTGCCGTTCGCCTTGAGGTTGGCGGGGGAGCCCAGGAGCGGGCCGGGGCTGCTGCTCCCGGGGCCCTTGCCCAGGAGGGGGGAGGTCGAGAAGCTCTTGGCGCTCCCGACCGAGCCCGAGAAGGACGGGGTGCGCGCGTAGCGGGGCGGCGTGCTGAAGCCGGTGCCGGGCGTGGCGGGGGCGGAGCTGGGCGGGAGGCCGAGGAGCTGGCGCTGGGCGGCCGTGAGCGGGATGTCGGCTACATCGTCCTTGGTGCGGAGCAGCGGCAGGAGCGCCAGGCCTATGTTCACGAGCGGGATGACGTGCAGCCCGAGAAAGGCCCACCAGATGTATCCTCTTATTGATGGGCTGTATCTGCGTGCAAGTTATATGATGTCAGCTTGGCTGTCCATTGGTCTGTTTGAAAACCATGCTTGGCGGCATGCTGATTCTCAACGATAGGCCGCGACGAACTTTTGCGTGTGCTTCTGGATCGCGGCGTTGGACCGGACGACGACCACCATGACAAAGGTCAGCACGTTGTACAGGATTATCCTGAGGTTCTTTTCCGAGAACCTGGTGGCGTTCTGCCGCCGCGTGATCTCGGCCAGGCGCGGGTGCTTCCAGTTGCCAGGGCTCTCGGTGACAGCGGCGTTGGTTGCGGCAGCCTTCTTGGGCGTGCCCGCCGGTGTCCTGACGGACGCCGTCTTGGACGTGATGGCGGTAGAGGACATTATGGGAGAATCGGAGTGGTGCTGGGTTGTTGCTGCCGGGCGCGGTCGAGACGCGGTCGTCGCGATTTGCGATGGATGTCAATCACAGTTCCTCCGCAACCAGCTGGCCGACTCGAGAAACAGCAAAGAAAAGCACTGCCTGCCAACCCAGTCACGGCTCAATTCTCCTGTCGTCGGTCCCTGAGACGCTTCTCTGCACCGCTGTACGCTGTAGGGTTAGTAACTCACGAGGGTTCCCTCGGATTGAGGGCGACGATGCCCCAGTCCGTTGACCGTTCAAAAGAAGTGCATCAGCTGCGATTGTTGTTGTGTTCCGGTTGCATCTGAAATTCGCCCCTGCAGCAAGTCAATAAACGGCGGCCCCACTGAGCGACCAGCTTGCATCAGCCTCAGGCCGACGCCACACTGGAGCTCCTGCCGTCTTGGGAGTGGCAGAACCACGTGGGGTCGCGGCCACACAGCTCGAGCCCCGACTAACGTAATCGCTCGTGGCAACTGGACAGGTACCCACTGTCTCGGAGCTCGCAGACAGCGCCAGCCCGACCCGACCCCAACCGGCGCAAGCTCTGTCGCCCCCACGAGCTATCGTCCGGCACGATCGGGCATTGGAAAACCCTAATAGCAACCACAGCTCTAGTCACGGCGATATAAATTGTCGCCAGCCGACTTCACCTCTGCCTCGGCCCTCTCATCATCCGTCCTTCAATGTCGCAGCCGTACTGACGCCGCTACCTCTGAACGGGACGCCCGGATATCACGGAAACGAGAATAACCCACCTCGGCCTTCACAATGGGGATCGATAGCATCATGTGGCACATCGACGAGGGCCTGACGGGCTTGGTCGGCCAGTGGAACTCGTACACGACCACCTTTGTCACCCTCCTGCTCGGTATCCTAACCTACTCGCTCTTCACCCGCGCCGATCCCGACACCCACCCCATGCTCCTCGCCCGCCAGGCCCAGCCGGCTCCGGTGCGCCAAGAGGGCGAGTCCGCCGTCTACCGCTCCCACGCCTCGCCCCACGGCATGCCCCTCAACACCGGCCTCAACGTCAAGGATCCGGGCGCCTCCAAGTGGTCGAGGGGCCGCGACGGCGATGTGCGTGACGTCTGGAGGCAGGCTGTCGCCGGAACGCCCGAGACCGAGGGACAGATCAAGGGCAAGGGCCGTCTACTCACAGTGCACGGCTCTGAGAAGGTCATTGAGCATAACCTAGGTAGGCTTACTATTTCTGATGTCGCCGCCGCATACCGACTTCACTGACCATCGGACCCCGCCGCAGACGACATCACCCGCCATATCAACCTCATCGGATCTCACATACTTGACCAGGGCGGAAACAGGGTCGCCGTCTACCTGCCCAACTCGGTCGAGCTGGTCGCCGCTCTATTCGCCTGCGCCTTTCACAACCTGACGGCCATCATTCTTCCGTTCAACAAGAGCGAGGAGGCTGTCCTTTCGATGCTACGCCGCTCGGCTGCCGACACGGTTGTGGCGCTTCCCGGCTCCTTCCCCTTCGACGCTGTCGTCAAGAACTACCCCGCATTGCGCAACGTCGTCTGGGTTGCCGATGACGGTACCCGGCACATGGACTGGAACGAAGTGCCAAAGGGCACTGGTGGCGCCGTTAACGTGTCGACATGGCACGATATCGTGACCGAGCAGCCTGTTGATGCCGGCCGGGACCTGCCTGCTGTCGAAGGCCAGAAGGAAGCGCGAGACGTCACCATTTTCTGGCAGTCGAAGCCTGGCGAAATGGAGGAGATGGTCCGCTTCACGAGCGCCAACCTGGTCGCCGCGGTCGCGGGCCAGATGCTGGCAATCCCCACATCGCAGCGCCTTGGCCCTTCGGACCTGTTCCTGCCCGCAGACTCGCTCGCAAACACCCACACCCTGATCCTGACGCTCGCCGCCCTGTTCAGCAACAGCTCTGTCGCTTTCAACTCGGCCGCTGGCGGTGCTGAAGACCTCACTCTGGCCACCCGCGGCATCTCGCCGACGGTTCTGGCAGCGACGCCCGCCGCTCTTCTCCGCACCCACGCGCAGGCCTCTGCATCAGTCACCAAGTCGGCCCTTGCACGCACCGTTCACGGCATCCAGTCCCGCTCCCTCACTCAGTCGGGCGTCATGCCCGTCGCCTCGCTGATCTCCTCCCTCAACGACGGCCTCCGCCCCGCGCTGGGCCACACCCCCGGCAAGCTCCGGCTCGTCTTCGTGGCCGAGCGTGTGGGCGCGAGCACGCCGCCGCTGTCCTCGACCGTGCTGTCGGACCTCCGCGTCTTCACTGGCGCGCGCGTGGTGTATGCGCTCACGGCGCCCAAGGTTGCCGGCGCCGTCACGCAGACAGAATTTTACGACTACCGCGTGGTCGAGGATCCGTCAGCCGTATCGCGGGCGTCGCACTTCGGGTCCCCGCTCACTACGACCGAGGTTCTGCTGCGTGACAAGGGCGAGCACAAGACGACGGATGACAAGATCGAAGGCGAGGTAAGCTTATATCCGGGGGCATCTATGCTGCCACTTACTCTTTTGATCGTAGGCCATGATACTAACATCCTGTGCTTCACAGATCGTTGTTCGGGGACCCTGTGTTGCGGGCGCTGAGGCGTCTCTCGGGGTGGTGGGAAAGATTCGGGATGACAACACCCTGGCCTATATCTAAACTGGTGGCGTTTTCTCGCTGTCACGCCTCTACCGTTTCGCATAAAATTTCCGGAGTCTAATCCACCCTATTTTGTCGTTGATTTTGAGCCATGATGGAAAATATTCACAGACAGCTTGGAATTTCGACGGCATTGAAGTACTTCAGCCTTTAATTTTCCACCTACCGCGTTGTTTTCGAGCCAAGTTGTTGCTTGAGGAGATATGGTTTCAGGTCCTGTCTCGACGCTTCGAGAGCCCCCGACAGCGATCCTGCACTTTGAGAAGCGCGCTGGCATATCTGACTTTTCCTTGTTCATATCATTCGTGACATCGTAGAATTACATGCTCCCCTAGGTTGCCACGCCCTTGGAAATCTTCCACATTAAAACTGCTTGCGCTCGCCCACTACGTCTCGTTGGGCGCGCAGAAAGTGGGGTGCGATGCGGCCGGCCTGCAGATCCCGTTGTCCAAATGGCAGGATGCAATTCGTTGGGATTATATTGGCGTCTTTGGAGAGATGGGTTTCACTGCGCGAAGCAAGCAAGCAGCCAAAAACACAGAACCCTCACGGCTCAAGCCATATTATGTACATCTTTGGGAGGGTGGCTCGAGTGGGCATTCTCGGACTCTATATAGGTGTACGCATCTGCCAGCAGTCTCGCGCGCGCCGACTGTACTGTCCGGTTTGCTATCGATGTGGTCCCCTTCCGTCTCCGCCATTCCCGACCTTCCGTACTTGAAAACTCGCCCGGAGCCCAAGATGCGGAGCGCTTGCGCTTTGGGTGGTCGGGTGGAGAGCAGAAACCTAAAAACGCCAAAAGAGACAGCCAGCCAGCCAGCCGAGTGATGACTGCCTGCAGCACAAAGAAACACGGAGCCCCATGCAGACAGAGCAGCAGCATGCATCATGCCCGCCACTCTTAAACTGTTTTGCACACCTTCAGGATGCCAGAAACCAGCCTAACCACGTTGGAAAGCTGCACGTTCGGCGTCGCTTCTCGGTTCTCACCAATGGCCTTGGAGAAACTCGAATCGCTATTTGCGTCCACCTATCTCGTCGAAACAACGGCGCCTCCTGCTCAAGCCACCTCCTTGGCGCGTACTTTCATTCGCCTTTATCTTCCCAATAACATGGCTGAGACTCAAGAAGGACGTCCGATGGGGGCTGCGAGTGCGCGTAAGGCCGCCGCCCAGCTTGTATGGGTCGGGAGCAAAACAAGTGTAGCGCCATGTGGTTGGGCTGGATATCAAGAGCTCGAATCCGAGATTTAAGTCTGGCGTTTCCTCTCGTTTTTTTGTGCGGGAAACTCCAGAGAAAAAGAAGCCACGGATCCGAGAAGTCTTCAAAATGATAAACTTCACCCCCAACTGCACCTTCCCGACGGCCTCTGTGGGCTTTGTCCAGACACCGCCGATCCGCGGCACCATGGAGATCGTGTGGTCGTGCGTATCAATTATTTTTCTTTGCAGCTGGTCCATCCTGCATCTCAAAGTACCGCCGCAACACAGACCTCAAAATTGGCGGCAAAAGGCTAGGTGGAAGTTCGCGCTTTTTTGCAGGAAGCTCAAATGGATGGTTATAACCATTTTCGCCCCCGAGATTCTCCTGGGCTTGGTTTTTGTCGATTTTATAGCCGCCCGGAAATATACGCCCAAGATGCGAGTATTTGCCGAGGAAGACCAAATTCCGTGGTCCGAAACGCATACGCGGTTCGCCAACCAAGGCGGGTTCCTCCTGTATTTCCCGCCCGAGTTACGGGGCTCTGCAGACACTGGAGGAGGCTCTGCCGGTAGTCCAGGTTTAGGAGCTGATGGAGCTGCTGCCATCGAGCTCGCAGAAAGGGGGGACCGCCGCACAGAAAAAGCACAAGCGAAAGTTGTTAAGCTCGAGGACGATGCTCGAACCCCACATTTCAACAGCCGGCGCAAGAAATACGTCAGGCGCAGGGAGCGGGCTATAAATCACTACGGACCTTTACCCGGAACCCTATCCGAAAACTTTTACAATGTCGTGGCGGAGAAAGCCGTCCTACGAGAACAAGACCTCTCCGCCAACAACCTTCTCAACCACTTCTTCGCCGACAACCTTCTCAGCCACCTCATCGATACGTGGGTTATCAACTCGAGGCAGCTGCGGTTTTTTCGAAAAAAGGGAATTATCGCCAAACTCCCCAAACTCGAGGAGGAAGACCTCGAGGACCGCAACAAAGGCAACGCCGTCGTCAAGCTCATAGCCATCATCCAGATTTGCTGGATGGGCACGCAGCTGCTGACGCGGGCCGCGAGGGGGTTGCCGGTAACGACGCTCGAGATCTCGGCCGTCGCTTTTATTGCCAGCTCGCTCGTCATTTACCTGCTGCAGCTGTCCAGCGTCCAGGATCCGGGCCTACCCGTGCGGCTGGTCGCCACTCGTTTGCCCACCAGCGCCGAGTTTGGCAGCCACTTGCGCAAGGTGAACGTCAGGTTCACGGACCGGGTGGCGGCTAATGGCCCGGCCATCGAAAACGACGTGATCCAGCGCTGGTCGTCCCAGGGGGCGGAGAAGCTGTACATGTGCGCCTTCATCGGGGTCGGGGGCTTACTGTTTGGAGGGATACACCTTACCGCTTGGGATTTTGCCTTTCCCACGCTTACCGAACGCGCGCTCTGGCGCGCCTCGGCCCTGGTCACCGTGGCCACGCCTGTGGTTGATTCGTTGGGGTATTGGGTGGATTTTTTCTTCAACGCCGGCAGCTTAACGACGTTTGGCTGGATACGGTGGACTGTCACTGCGTTGTCGATCCCTGTTTATGTGGCTGCGCGTTTGTTTTTGTTGGTCGAGAGCCTTAGGTCGCTGTACTTTTTGCCGCCGGCTGCGTATCAAACGACCTGGACTAAGAATGCGCCTCACTTTGGATAGTTTTGTATAGCTGGTTCTGGAGCCGTTTTTGGTGTTTATCATGTTTTATCGTTCGTTCCAGTCTCCCTTCAATCCCTTGCTGGATTTAGATTGCACCCTGCTTCCTTTTCTCTTTTTCCTTGCCATACAATCGTTAGGGTCGCCTTCCTGCAATGTATAGCAGCGGTTTTTGCCTGGGAGTTGGGGATATGAGAATGTATACATAGAGAGGAATAATTTAGCACCTCATGTTCCACACACTCTTTGGCGATCCAAGCAACCCTCTATTCGTGTCAGAGCCCCTGGTTAATAACCAGCGTACATCTCTCGCCTCTTCTATACGGACGTCGATTTCTGGGCCCTAGCATTTCTAGCCGGAGAGCTTATATCGAGGCAGGTGTAGAGCGCGTTGGGTCGACCGTGGCGGTTCTGGGAAAGGCCGACTGACCAAACGTCGTCAATTTAAGATTCAAGCTGCTCGACGGCTCAGAGTTATATAAAGCATGAGACCGAAAAAAAGGCATATAAGAAAAACCCCTACCAGAGTCCAGTCAGCCATAGCCCCGGCATGTGGCCGTTCGCGCCGCCGTCGTCATCGTCCTCGAACCGCACCCGGCTCTGCGGTCGCGGCCGGTACGCGCCGCCGTCTCTTTCTCAGGAGGTGGCCTGCCAGCAGCTTTTTGACGGGCATCTGGATTGGAGCTTTCTTGTTTTTGGTTGTCTTGTTTGGGTATCCTATTGCGCAGGGGAAATCTTATTGCATTTCTATTTTTTTCTTCTTCTTTCCGTCCTGTTTCTTTTCCGGCCGCCGAATCGAACAAATAAGGGTTCCCTACTGGGCCTGACCAGTTTATTCAAGTGGTGCACATCCTGAAATGGGCACAATGGACGCAAACTTCCCTGTTTTCTAGACCACTTGACCCTTCTCGGGCGCACGTTAGGATTTCGCTGATCGGGGGGTTGTCGCGACCCCATATTGCATCATGTTTCCCGGCAAGTGCCCACTCGACGCCGCCCCTGACGTAACGCCAGGGACCCGGTCGTCTCGGCGCCGGTGCCGTGGGCCGGTCAAGCCTTGGGTGCCAAGTCGTGGCGGCCACCCAGGCGCCGAGAGTCATTCCTCGCCAATCAAGCCAGCTACAGGGACAGCTTTAGATGACATCGCCGGCCTGTTCACCATCACTGCTCGCCAACCCTTGGATTTCATTCACATAGCCCAACATTGGAAATCCATTTGAATCCATCTGAATCCCTATTTTCGTTATCCCGCGGCCCAGACGAATCCAATCACTAGAGCCAGATCGATCGGAACACCGATGATTTCTCTTCTCGCCATGCCTTTTTAAACAGCTCAATGGCGACGGAACTTGAGCAGAAATTCACCAGCCCTGGCGTCACTTCCATCAACTTTCCTCTTCCACAAAAGGCATATCATTTACAACAAAATTCGGGGAAGTGATATTCTGGCCGTCGAATTTGGCTGGGCCGCGCCGAGGCACGTTCAAGCCACGGAATAATAGTTTCACTACAATGCGCACCGCCACGCCCCCCACCGCCTAAACATAACCCGAGGTACCTGGAAATAACGTGCCAATGCCGCCAAAGCATCAAGACCCCTCGACCGTCACGAGCTCCTCCAGCGCCCGGACCCGGCTCTCGGCCAGCTCCAGCAGCGTCTCGGCCGGGATCCTCCCGCCGCACTTGGCGGCCAGCAGGCAGGCGCTCTTGGTCAGGTTCTTGATCTCGCGCCCGTTGAGCGGGATCCCGCTCAGCCGGCCCAGGTCCTCCTCGGTCACGTCGAACCGGGCGGCCCCGCCGGCGTGGGCGACAAAGTTCTCCCACACGCGCCTGCGCGCGGCCGGGGCGAGGTCGTGGTACGGCAGGAGCAGGTCGACGCGCGACTGAAAGGCGTGGTCCAGCGCCGAGATGCGGTTCGTGGTGAGGAAGAGGGTGCCCTCGTAGTACTCGAGCTTGGTGAGGAATACTGTTGGTGGGTGTGGGGGTAAGGGTCAGTAGCCTCGCTGCGTGTGTTTCCCCCTCCGGTGCAGGCCATCATCACTCACCAGCCACAAGCTCGTTCCTCATCAGGTCATTCATGTTCCTCGCGCCCAGGAAGATGTCGGCCTCATCCAGCAGGAACATGGCCTTCCACAGGCGGCAGAGATGCAGGGCCCTGTCGAGCTGGTACTCGACGTGGCGGGGGTTGGTGCCGAGCACGGCGGCGCCCATAGAGTACAGGGGCACCCGGCAACGCTCGGCGACTGATGTGCAGAACGGGGCATCTGTCAGTGGGATGTGGCCTATCAGGTTGGTACCTAGGTGGTACCTAGGTAAGGACACACATACCGGCTTCAGCCGTGTACGTCTTTCCGACGCCAGGAGGGCCAAACATGAGGATGATAAGACCCCGTCCTGGAGGGGAGAATGCGAGTCAGCACACGTCGCTTTCTGCAGATATTAGATCAAGCAGGTGGCACCAACCCTTGCTTTCAACAAAGTCGTCGAACGAGCTCCTTTCAAGCGACTTGTTCTCCACAAAGGCCCAGGCGAGCTCCTTGGAATTGTTGGGGAGGACCAGCTTCTCGAACGCGTCATCGTTCCAGGCCACATCTCGGATGTCTTCGACATTAAACAAAGCTAAAAATTTTCCGTGACAATAGTCAGCATGCAATAACCCGGGTAGGGCGGAGGCAGCAAGACACTCACCCCAGTCCTTGGTTGTCATGTCGAAGCCCCTGACCCAAGGCGCCGCAAGCATGCACTCCTCGTCGGTGAGCTCCGCCAGATCCTCGCTGCGCTTGCCGGCCTTTTGCGCCGGCGAGAGGGCGGCCCTGTGGTCCGTGCCTTCAACCAGCAGCGGCTGATGCGGAGGTGGCGGGCCGGGACCAGCGTTCATAACAATAGGCGGGCGAGGAGCACCGGGAGGAGGGGGAGGGCGTGCTCCCGGGGGTGGCCGTGGCGGCATACCGCCGCTACGCATAACGCCAGGCGGCGGCGGGATCCCCCAGTGCTTGGGCGGCACCATGCCGGGGTGCAGCGGCGGAGGACGGGCTTGATGGAGGCCGTTTGATAGCTGCGCCCTGGGCGGCAGGTTGTCATCCACGAGACTACTGAAGCCGGACGAGCTGCTACTGCTGCTCTCGTCGTCGTCGTCGTCGTCGTCGTCGTCGTCATCATCGATCAGCTTCCTCCTCGCCCCAGTTGCGGTGTTGATGTTGATGAGCTTTGGCTTCAGGGGCCCCAGCGCTGTTTTTGTCTGGCTGGTGCTGCAGAAATACGCAAACGCGTCGACGGCGATCCTCCCAGAGGCCTGCGTTACTTCCTATCAGTGGAAAGGTTCAAACGCTGGCAGACGGACTTTCGTGGGCACTTGGCGGATGCCGTCCTACTTACAGGCTTTCGTTCGTATCTCGATTCGTTCTCGAGCGAGATCTTGAATCCCTCGTATTCGCGGTAGTGATAGCCCCTGAGGGCTTCAAACTTCCGACCTCTGGCGACGAGGCGGCTCCTGAGCTCGATCCCATCCGGGTGCAGATCGAGGGGCACGATGGGAAAGGAGTCGATGGTGCGGAGCCCGTCGTAGTGGATGATGGTGCAGTGGGTCGTGGCCCAGCCGCACTCGGCGCCGTTCCAGTCGAGGTACTCGGCGGCGACGGACCAGAAGGCCACGCCGCCGTCGCGGCCGTCGGTGCGGCCGTCGGAGCGCTTCTCGTATTTGTCGACGCGGCAGACGACGTCGACGCCGTACAGCTTGGTCACCACCAGCGCGCCCGGCGGGAAGACCTGCCAGACGTCGTCGAACTTGACCTGCCCCGTCCTGATGGTCTGGTCCCGCGCCGCGATGGAGGGCCCCAGGAGCGGCGTCAGGAACGCCACCAGCTCGTCGACGAGCGCGCGCCGCTCGCCCACCCCGGCCTCGCCGTCGCCGTCGCCGTCGCTGTCGGCCTCGCGGGCGGCCTCGGCCTGCAGCTCCTTGAGCCTCTCCCACCGGTGGACGAGCGGCTGGAACGGCTTGGAGAAGGTCCAGCCCTTGAGCTCCGGGTGGAAGTCCTGGTAGCGCGCCAGGGCCTGCGCCAGCACGGCCCGCATCTCGAGGCTCTGCACCGCGAACTCGAGCGTCACCCACTTGCCGCCCTTCTTCCTGGTCTGCCGGTGCAGGATGGGCACGTCGGCGACGCTCCTGGCCAGCTCGCGGTTCTCGTCGTCGACGTTGCGCTGGAGGGACCACCGCTCCGGGCATGACTTTGTGGCGCACTCGTGCTTGTACAGCTTGACGACGGGCTTCTGGCGGGCGGCGGCGCGGGCCTTGCCGGTGTCACCCGTGGGCGGAGCCGAGGCGGCATTTTCATCGTCAGGGGCCATCTCTTGCTGTGCACGCTCGGCTGGGGAACTGCCAACGACGACGAGATCTCCTGGCTCCGACGTCGTGGTGACGGCACCAGCCTCGCCCATCTCTGAGGTCATGATGGGCTAGTTGGCGTTTTGGTAAGATTGAAGAATGCCTATACTCAATGCGAGACCTTGAGCGGCTTTTAAAAAGAGGGAAAGGGATGGGTGTCCGGACAGGTAGCAATCATGGACAAAGGCATGCGTCCGTATCCTGCGTAAGCCCTCCTCTGCCCAAGAACAGCAGAACATCAAATCTGGACCCTCCAAGGGCATCGTGACAAGTCACCCAGTGTCTATTGCGCTCGGCAGTCGTCATGTCATCATTTGTGTTACCATACACTCGATATCTCGCAGGGGTAGTGCAGGTTGACAGCACCACCGGCCAATACCAGTCCGAGGAAATCTGCACTTGTGCAGAAACCGGACGCTAGGGGCTTACTTTGCAGTAGCGATATGCATAGAGTATAAAGCAGGCTACCGCCACTGCGGGGTAAAGTGAACATTATTTGTATTGGCTACGAGAGCCTCCTCCGCACCAGTTCTTGCGCTGCCTGGCCGGTCCTATGCGCTCAGGGGTTTCTGAAAGCTGCCTCGAAAGCAAAAGCGAAAGAAGAGCACAACGACGCAAACGAATGTCCAATAATGAAGAGCCAGGTGCGGATGGATGCCATCTCTTTCAAGCGGACGCGGCTGTGGAAGTACATACAAAGGTGCGTGGTGGTTCAAAAAGTATTTATGGGAGAAGGGCGGCAGGAGAGGGGGTCTTGCTACAGTACCCGAGCCGATGTGGGGCGCAGATGGAGGCTTACCCGGCGGGCAGAACACCATCTTTCGATTACAGGAGATAAGCGGCAGCCATCAGGGCGACGGCGGCCTTGGCGACGCCGTTCAGGGCGGCACCCGCCGTGACGATGGCGGGCTTGGTGCCAGTCGGGGCGGGCGGCCAGGCGACGGCCGTGCCGTTGGCCTTGGGGTAGGCAGGGGTCGGGGTGGCGGGGACGGCAAAAGTGAGAGACTGGCTGGGCGGGATGGGGACACCGGTGCTGGTGGTGCAGGGGACGGTCGAGGTGGCCTCGACGGTGGCAGTCACCTGGACGGCGCAGGACTTGAGCTTGGACACGGTGTCGGCAAAGATGCTGGTGAAGTGCTGGATGATGCCTTGGTTGCTCTTGCCCTGACCGTCGGTCGGGAACTTGGCGGCCACGTCGCCCATCAGCTTGACGACACCGGCTCCTGTGTTGAATGTCGCGTTAGCATATACCCCCACCATCCGTCTCGTCGGCCGACGCCGTCAGCCGAGAACGGGACGGGACGCCTTACCGATATCGCTGATCATCTGCTCGGCGTGGGAGCAGACGCCGACCTGGCCGAACGTGGGGATCTTGTCGACCACGTGGCCGAGCAGCTTCTCGCCCATAGCGTTGAGCTTGTCGCTCAGGGGCTGGAACTCGTGGGCCTCCTGGAGCGTGACGGGCGTCATGCCGAGCACCTCGGCGTCGGCGCTCTTGACGGCCGCCACCATCTCACCGCCGCGCAGTCTGAGCCCCGGAATGTCCTGGACGCCCTGGAACTTGGTGATGGCGTCGTCCAGGCGGCCCATGTGCTCGTAGACGCTGGTCATGACGCGCACCACGACCTCGAGCGAGCGGGCCTCGACGGCGGCGCGCGGGGCCACGGCGCTGGCGCTCGCGCCCATGACGAGGCCGAGGATTGCGGGGATGGAGAACTTCATGGTGTTGAAGGAGCTATTTCTTGGGAAAGAAGGGTATCAAAATATAGCGAAGGCAAAATAGAGAGCGTGATGAAGTTGGGTAGTATGCCTGCTGCAAAGGAGTGACTGGCAAAACGATCAAAAGAGTGTGGGAACCCGAAGGTGGCTATCTGAACATCCAACGCAAATGAAGGATGTCCAAGGAACGCGCCGGTCCAGCTTATATAGTCTGCAGCTAGAGGACAACGGTGGGCCATGCTGCCTCGACCCCCGACTGCACCTCGTGGGGAGGGCTAGTAAGGCTCGGGTCCGAGATGAGGAATTAGGGGTACCTGGTTGGTATCTTGGTGACATCCAGCCTAGGTAAGCGCTTGAAACAAAAAGCAATCTTAGAGCTCCTGGGGAGGATCGACGGCGTGCGCTAGACATACCGTCCAACCGAGCACGCACAGAAAAGTGATTGCACTCTGCCATTAGGTGCCGCGTCTTAGTCGCCGTGGTAATTGCTGCCCATATGGCCTCAATTTCAAACGCAGCTATGAGCGTCAGCACACTGTTCAGCTGGAAGGGTCCGAGGCCCAGACAGCAAAAAGCAAGGCCAAGCGAAAGAACACCTCCCAGGCTAGTGTGGTGACTAGGTTGCCCAGAGCGCCACAAGGCAGTCCACGAATAGGTTACGTACCCTCAAGACCAAACAGAGACACCGCTGCCAAGACTTACCCCAGAGTGGAAAGGGTCCGTGGTGCTACTTCACCACCCATTCGATGCGCCACCAGGACCGTTGGGCTGTGACAGCTACATCGGCGCGACGCCGATGTGAATACCGGCTGGCCATTTCGCTAGATGATGCAGCACCCAGCCAGTGTGACCCAGCGTTCGAGGCCGCTCCGTCCAAACGCGCCGTGTCTTATTATTTTCTAGAAGGCAGTTTCGGGGTGTTAGTGACCTTCCCAGTCAACCGCAAGAATGCCCGGCAACCTTGTCGGCGACCAGTCTGCCCCGAACCATGCATCACCCGAGCGCGACGGATGCACCGGCAGCCTGGCTAGGGCGGAAAAGGCAACAGGAAACGAGCTGACCCTGGAAACCGCAGACTGCCTTTTGTTTTGTTTTGTTTTGTTTTTTCTTCTTTTGCTTGACGACGCTATTTCATAGCGCTTGCTCCCCGTATCACACCTCACTAACACAAATCCAGCCCTGCCGCCCTTGTTGCTATACCCTTGCCCCTGGGGGTCGCAGTGCCGATCACTTACGCATCCAGACATCCCCCAACAAGGGGTCCACCAGGTTATCACAGGTTTTACCCCCAAAAAATAGATAAAGTCAAAATGCCGACAGCCGGACAAATTTTGCTTCGATGCGCCTTGGCGGCCCTGGTCCTTTCCAGCCGCAGCACCAACGCGTAGGCTGGTGGCAGCAACCCCACGCCGCCGCCGCCGCTCAACATCACCGCCATCTCGGCCGCGTCCAACGCGTCCACGCTCGAGTGCTGGCAGTTCGGCCCCCTGCCCGCCGCGTCGGCGCCGGGCGTCTCTGGCGCGGCGGCGCTGCTGCTTCTGGGCGGCGCCGCGAGCAGCGTCAGCTACACCGTCCTCCCCGACGCGCCGCGCCTGCAGCTCGTCGTATTCCTGTGGGGGCTGGCGCGCATCACGCTGCCGTCATCATCGGCCGACGGCAACGACACCGCCGCCAGCTTCGACGTCAGGGGCGGGCGGAACGGCATCATCGTCGCCGCCGACACAAGGGACGTGTCCGGGCTGGGCCACACGACCGACTACCCCGGCGACGAGCCCACTGTTGTCCTGCAGATGCCGATAGCTGCGGGCCGGCTGGGCTTTGGGAGGTATTCGGTTTTGCATGAGGGGCCCTGTACCGAGGAGATGTCTGGGCTTTGATCTGGTGAACTAGCGCGATCTGTTCAAGAAGTGGCTTTTTCCGAGTAAATACTTAAGCCCAGAATCTAGGCTTATCCGTGCATCCGAGGCTCACAGATGAGATCGGCACTTGACGGCCGCTGCGACACGCGGTGAAAACGTGCGCGCGTTGGACCGTTCAGCAAGAGGTCACAGACTCGAGCTTAGTTCGAAGGGAACTAGATGATCTACTCCGGAGCAGAGGTCGTGCAAGCCACGCCTTCCTAAAGCACTGCGTGCGACGTGGCTGATTTAGTGCCTTTTCGGGAGATCCGCGACTTGTCGGCACTAATACAAACCATGTGCGGGGGCAGCTCACTGCCAGTGCCGTCGAATCACTTTGGAGCCTTGTTTTTTTTTTTTAAGGAGTGAAATTCAGCTGAACAAGATGATGTGATTTAAAGGAAAATGAAAGTCCGCCGTGAGCAGGCCGGGCCCAGCTTGCTGCAGGGCTCAAAAAGAGAGACATGAAGGCCTCGCGCTATCCGCCGGCGAGAACAAATGCGTTGTGAAACAACCCGGAATCCCTTTCCCATCCCAGAGAGTCCCCAATCCCTCAACTCCGTCTTTAACAAAGGCCCCGAACCGGAGCGACACGTCCCAGGCCACGAGCTCCCGCAGCAGGGTAGGCGCGCCGGCCCCCGGGTCGAAGCCGTCACAGTGTCTTGGCCGTACCCCAGAAAAGGTGACGACACCGCTTACTCCATCTTGATGCCGCGCTCCTCGGCCTCGGCAATGGTGAGGACCTCGCCGCGGGCGGTGATGACCTGGCTGGCCTGAACGCAGTCCTCGGGCTGGGTGAGGGGCTCGCGCTTGGCCTTGGCGAGCGAGGTGCCCGTCAGCCACTTGGCGGAGCGGCGGCTGGACCACTGCTGGCAGATGGTGGTGGCGACGTTGGTGCTGAAGGTGTTCTGCGGGTTGCCGGGGCACCCGGCGGCCGACCAGGCACGTCCGCGGCTGTTTGGGAGGGGAAGAGAGGAGGATGTCAGCCAAGGGTCAAAGGTCATGGCAAAGAAAAAAGGGGACATCTTACCTCCTGGCGGGGAGCTTGAACTCGATGGAGTTGGCCAGGCCGCCAAAGGTGCAGCAGCCGCCCTCCTGGATGCCGCGGCAGCAGAAGCGGTTGCCGTTGCAGTTGGAGCCGGTGGCGCCGCAGATGTCGGCGGCCGAGGCCACGGAGGCCAGGAGGGCGGTGACGACGACGAAGAACTGCATCTTGAAGAAGGCTGGTGGGGGGAGGAAGACGAAGCGGTGGCTCGTGTGTTGGCTGCGAGAGGCTTGGCTGTAGGAAGGAGCTGGAGTGAGGGCTTGCTGAGGGCTGCTGAGCTGGGGGAAAAGATGTACGTCTGGAGGAGAAGACACGGGGGCTTTATAGATATCGCGAACTATGCCTTCCTGGCGAGAGGCCTCTGCTCCTCCCCGGTGAGCTCATCCTCGCTTACGGGGGCCCTCTACTTCTCCGACGATAGTATTGTCGTTTACGAGACCTGTGTCCTGGAGAGGCGAGATCGTCTAGGCGGATTCGTCCTTCTCACCCCCGACGTTGTATGCCAAGCGCAGCCTGTGCCTGCCTCCAATGAAGCCCACCCACGATGCCTTCGTCAGAAACGCCAAGATTTGCCCACATGAGCCCTATCGTGATTGGTTGTGGGGGGCCAAGATCCTGCCAGGCTGTTGCACCAGGGCCGGGACTGTAAAAAAAGAAGGTAAGAACATAGTGAAGCTTCCTGGGCGATCCTTCGATCACGTCGCTCGATCCATAGGAGCATGTCTGCCGTCGGGCCGCCGCGAAGAGGGAGTTCGCCAATCGCAGAGCCTGCCGCGTAAAACCTGCGCCTCGATGGTGCTTCCAATGTGACATTCCCCGGATGACGTTGAGAGGCTGAGGATGGGGGCCAACACAAGCTTATGTCGTTGGGCGCCCGAAAACCCACAAGCCAAGCTTAAAACCCGCTTTACGTGCACCCCTGCTGCGGATGTATCTGGAAGGTCTCCCTGTCATGGTGTATCTTTTTCTTTTTCCTCCTGCGGCTAACGGTGGTGGTGGTCGTGTGTGGTGGCTCGCACGCAGGCCAACAGAATGAGTATGTCAGCATCCACCGCTGTTGCATCAATCAATGTAACTGCAGCAGCCGTAGAAAAAAATACCCCTGGACAGATCCCGAACCTAATACTCCCGAACTGGGTCGTGGGTTGGACCTGTTGGCTGGAACCCCTCGTCTCACACCGCCGTCGAGGGCCTCTCGTTACTAAGACCCTTGTCTTGGCGATGCGGATTCGCTGCACGTCAGCTCGAAATGTGCCCCTTTGGGAGGCGAGCCGGTCTAGACCAAAGAGGGGCGGGCGCGCCCGGGAGTCGGCGCAAGGACCGGAGAGGGGGAGAGGCCGAACTCTTGGTTCTGGCCGCCTATCCACTTGGAGGGCTCACTTCCCCAAACAGACAAGTCGAATATATCGTTGCATCGCAGGCCGCGGCCCCGAGCCGTGGACAGCCACCATTTCGGCATGTCAGTCAGGTGTCACCTGATGTCAGGCTCGCTTCTAACAAAGCCCCGTTTGCTGAACACCCCAAGGACATTTCCGGAGACGAAACATGCACGACAGTCTTTTCTTTCACCTTTTCCCTTCCGTCTCCCTTTGCATTTGTCACTGGTAAGGAAGATCCGCTGTCCACCATGCGGGCCATCCTGTAGGCGATTCCCGAGAGCGCCGCCTCGATCCGCCCTAGCCGCTCAACCAATCGCAGGCACACGGGCTCCAATAAGCAGCTAGCTATAGCCTATTTACGTCACAGTCTCGTGGCACAGCTCCTCAAGCGGCTTACCGCTCCCACGGAGCCCCCGCCCCAGGGAGCTCTGCCAACAGGACTGGTCAGCTGCCCGTCTGACGCCATGTGCCGCGACCCAGAGGTCGAGGACCGCCACGTCAAGGAGACTGGGAGCACAGCTTCTAGGATCGCTGCTCAAGAAAAGGAAACAATCAGCGAGCTAAGATGATAGCGGTAGCCTGGCTCCTCATGCTGCTGCGCCCAGCTCCAGAGCTCCAGCCTGGCAGGGGGCTGACCGGTTTGCTTGGGGAGTTTAGGCATACAGTAGTCCCATGAGGGGCCCACATGGCTTTACGACCAGACCAACCGATCGGAAATCGCTTGGGGCGGTCTGCATCAGACGAAGAATCTCGATTCGGAAGCTTTTCTCAACTCCAGCAGACGACACCTAATTTCTGCGCTTCTATTTTGATCACCACGAGACGGAAACTGATTGGTCTCGTAGCCATAATTATGACTTTATATTTCCTTGTTAGGACATCTCCTGCACCATACACTCAGTGCATGCTGAGTGACAATATTCCGGAGGAACTGCTCCTGCCACCAGGGTCTTTTGAGCCCCTTATTCCTGTTGTATGTGTCGCGGGAAAACAGTGCAAAATAGGTTCTATTGTAGGCTTATCTGAATTTCTAAAGAGAAAGGAAGACGGGGCACACGGCCGTGAGCTACAATGATACCCCTCTCTTGCGATACCCACTACCGCACCCCTATTGGTGCCGACGGGTGCTCGGTAAGCATCTGCCTGGCGCAGCACCGGTGCGGAGCATCCGTGCCGGGTGCCCGTGCAGATCTCCCGTGCCAAGGCCTGGAACAGTGTGCCGGCCCTTGGTGATAGCCTCCTTTGTGACAAGGGGAAAATGCGTGGCCACATTCTGCAGCCATGTCGGAGCAGCATGCAATTTTTAACAGCCTTTCCTGTAGCTACTTCCTTTTCTCCTTCTCCTTCTTTTCCTTTTGATGCCCGAAGGTGGTCGTTGCAGGCTGAATACCGTCCCGAATAACCACGACCACACCCTGTAATTGAGCTCTTCTGCGATCATAAATAAACCAGAGAACTACCCATCCACGGTCAAGTAGCTCCTCAGATTCCATGCGAATACCTTCATTTCTGGTGCTCTGTTGCCTGGGCTCGAGATTGGTGGGGTGGCGTGAGGAGTCTTGGGATGGCGCAGTACCCAATCACACCCAAAATCATCAAGGCGAACTGCGAGGCGAACTGCGAGGCGAACTGCTACGAAATAGATACGGTTTATTGGCTGTTCGTAGAACCTGCAGCCGCGCGCATGACCCCGATTTTTGCCCAACAGACTGGTTCAATCCATTACAACCATCTTCGTCCAACTCGCGCATACACAACCCCTCCAAAAAATGCCACCCATCTCTCGCCTACCCGCGATGACGGCGCCCCATTGAGAAGGCACGATGTCCGCCGCCCTGACCTTCGGCAGCGTTGGCGACATCATCGCTCTCTGCCAAATCGCCTGGAAGCTTGCCGAAGCCTTGGGAACTGGCCCTACAGGAGCCGGTGCCGAGTATCGCGAGCTCCGTGAGACACTCGACAGGCTTATCAGGGTCCTCACAACCGTATGTTTCCCGACCTTGCACGCGCCCGAGTATTTACTAATGCGGCGATCTTGGACGGGTCCGTAATAGGTTGTCACGACACACCAACACCGGAACGGACCGCCATCTAATTTGAACGACATCGAACGCGACATTCTAGCTCTTGTCAACGAGTGCGGTGGCCTGATACAGGATGCTTTAACCAAGCTCAGCGGCCGCTACGGCCAGAGTTTGAGCCAGTCAGGAGTTAGGAATGTGCTGAAGAAGATTGGATTCTCCATCAGGGACAGGAAGGAGGCGGAGAACCTGAGGAACAAGCTTTCTGAGAGGATGGACAGCATATCCCTACTGTCGGGGCTAGCCGCCAAGCAGTCGGCGCAGGTGGACACCGCCTCGATAATAGCCCGTATCGATCGATTCCACGAGACATCCGCCCGACAAGGCCAAGCTTGCGAAAGCTTGGTGGTAACCACGCGACACCAGAGCCGGGAGCTCCGGGCGATTAAACAACGGGTTGAGGATGTTGCATCAGCCTCGCAAGTTGCCCAAGTGTCAGTTTATGCTATCCAAGCCCTTCTGATGCAGATGGTGCAGGGGCTTGTCAGCCTGCAAGCATTCTTCTTCGGGTGGCTAGCTCTGTGCAGCCCGAGGCTAGACCCGACGAGCGGTCTCCCCGTGCGCCTCGAAGACCCAATGGGTAGCGTTCTAGAGCTCCCTTTCGATTGTTTATATGGCTGGCGGGTAAGCCACCATCCTTGAAGAAGCCCCCTTCCATCTCTTTTTGTGGTGCATAGCCCTAACGCGTAGGACAGGACTTGGACTACATTATCCGAAGGCGGTTTGAGGCGTTGAGGCTCAAGGGCTACGAGAAAATACTGAGGCGTCAGTATGCATTGGAAGATGACTGCTCCGGGAGAGATTTGGATCGGTCTCGGCCGCCAAAGGCATGGCTCCGGCGGGGGATGAAGGTCAACATGAGCATGATTTTCGCCACGGGACAGCATTTGACCAGAGATCAATGCCCCCGATGTCAGATGGCGGTGGTCACTATGGAAGAAGTTACTGTGCAGTGGTAAGTGTCGTTGGTCGTTACTATTCTTTCGTTTTTTTTAATTTGCTTCCCAGTCGTCGGGGCAGTGAAATCCTACGTTTATTCTTATGGCGCTGCTAACGCACAATGTAGCAAGACTGCGAACTGTGGGATGTGGTTCCGTGTTTCGGCGAGCATGAAACGTGTCCGCGAGGTCGAGGATGATACTGAAGACGACGGTACGGGAGAATGCCAGCAAAGGCCACGAGGGAAACGGAGCAGAACAGATTCTGGGGACGCCATGGTAGCAGGTTGCGAACCCTCCGACTTCCAACGTGTTAGGCTACTTAAAGCGCAGCCAGAAACCGAAGTAACAACAACCTCGATTGAGTTGGGGACTCCGTTGGAGGGTGTCGGTATCCGTTGCTGGCGTCCCAGGTTTCGCGTTTGGTATTGCTGTCGGTGCGGCGATGGTCCTCTCAATTCACAGTTAATTGTGGGTTGCACTGTCTGCGTGCACCACAGGTGCCGAGGCTGTGAGGGCTTCGAAGTAGTGGATCGGGAGACGGAACAGGGCCAGTAAGGCCGGACGGGCGGAGCATACACCTGGCTTTCCGGTGAGGCGGCGGCATAGTAATGAATCCAAACTGACGACCACAAATCACATACAACGGATGGTAACATACGCCTTTTGGCTAGGCCTTTTGCACCTGCGGGATTAGTCGGCTGTGTTGCAAGGAGGCGTGGCGGTTGTGGTAACTACCTCATGTGTCGCCCCCACCCAAATCCCTCCCGTTCCGAGCCCGTCTTTGTCGGCTGTTATTATTGACCCGCTGCCACAATTTTGTCGGCACTCTACTTCATGACGGGGAGCTCCATGGGGCGCCGTTGAACATGCCCAGGCATATAGACCGAGACGACCCTGTATAAGTTCCAGGTCTTGGCCTTCTTGGCTCTCTCCTCAGAGTGCCATATCACTTACAGAGCGTGCAATCGATGGAAACTATTTATTCTGCAATGGCGCGGCAGATCTTGTACGTAGCGATAGCCCTCTTCGGTTTCGGTAAGATAGTTCAATAAGGTGCTACTGCCGAAATCCCGCCCTAACAAGATACCAGCGGCAGCGCAATCCATTGGCCCCAATTCTGCGCCCGCAAACCTTCTCCCCTTCCCGAACAGCTGCCCCGGCCTATCGCAGAGGACTGTGGCGGGGCGCATGAGCAACGGCGTGCACTCGACGCGCACGCTCAAGGTGCCTCCCAGGGAGCCCGAGCCTGCTGCTCGTGGTGGTCGGGTCTAACAGCAGTTAGGATTACGCCGCGGGCAACGCATCGGTCGGGCAGTCGCTCGTTAGGTCTTTAACATGAGCAAGGTGCCGGCCGGCGGCTATGTGTTTAATACGGACAAGCACCTGTTCGGCTACGGCATGCGCAACGAGGTCGGGCTAACGTTCGACCCGGACGGCCAGGTCTAGGGCGTCGAAAACAGCGGCGACCACTTTACGCGCACCGTTAACGGGCAAGCGGTCGACATCCAGAAGGAAAATCCGGCCGAGGATCTAAACCATCGTCAGGACTAGCCCCTCTTGGTTTGATGCGCTTGTTCTGGGTCCTTTAGCTAACCCTCCGGTACAAAAACACAGTCGGCGACCCGTCCGTCCCCAACAACAACTGGTACGTGTACCCGAAGTGCTTCATGGCCTATAACGCGCCCGTTATCTAGGCCGGCGCCGGCCTCAATACCGGGGTCCCAGTTCGGCGTGGCACCCAACAGCACCTTCGACAGCACCACCTGCGCCGGCCGCGCCACGGCCCCGCGCCCCATCCTTCCCCGCGCGCAGCGCGCCCATCAAAGCCGCGGGCGAGAACCTGTACGTCACATTCCACGGCTCGTGGGGCCGCCTGCGTGAACATTTCGTCCGTGAACCCAAAATCCCAGTCCATCTTCTCCTCACACCCCGTCGGGTAATCGATCAGGGCGCGCGCCACGGCGGGACGTATGTACGGCCTGCGGCGGGCGAGCTCGACGTACGTTTCGGCGGCAGCGCGGGTCGGGTACCAGATCTGCCAGGGGAGCTCGTCGTCGGGGGGTTGGTCTTCCGAAATGCGTGACAGGTCGTTGCTCATGATAAACCGGGGCGTTGATCGCCTGGATGTAGTGCTTGCTGGGCTGGTCGTGGAGCATCCACCTCGCGAAGCCGGTATTGTGGTGGATGTCGCGCCTCACGCAGCAGTCCTCGTTAATACTAACGTGGACAGGTCGCCTGAGACGCGCGTACCGGTCAATATCGCCGTGGTAAGCCGCAATCAAAATCAGCACGTCCTTATCCCCGGCGGGCAGATCGTGCGGGAGTAGGTTCCGGAGGAGGGACTGCATCGCATCATGTTTGGGGCGCAGAACACCCTCCTCATCAGGGGCGGCATGGTTATCGTAATGGCCCGTGAACCCAAACGTCGTGGCCTAATCCTCGGTAATATTAAAGTAGTACGGCGCAAGCGCGTGTCCTAGAAAATTCCAGGAGGGAGACAACCGCGTGCCATGGAGGTCCATGTAATCCAGCCACGTGCGAGTGAGGAAGCTCCTCGAATAGTCCAAGATAGACCCAACCGCTGTGTCTCCGTTTAGCTGGTGCTGGGCTGGAACCGGATTGTCCTCCTGGATGGTTCTCGTATAGTCGTTCATAGTGGTCCATCTTACGGGCTACGCGGTAATCAAATCGAAAATGTCCTGGCTTCACCGTCGTTCGTGGCGAGATTATCGCGGGCCTCCTCTGCAATGGGCACGTCAGGGAGGAGGTTGAGCTCTCGGTAAAGACGGGCGTATCCGGCCACAGCCATGCGCGGCCGACTTGGTAGCGCATTTGCGGGTACCTTTTCGCCAATGCGCGCTATATCCCTTCAGATGCCACGTCTGGATACCAAATACAATACGGAACGTGTGATTCGTCGTCGATGTCGGGGGTCTGGTCGCTCATAATGGTGCGGGGGTTCAGGGTCCGCACCAGGAGCGAAATGTCGGCGGCGCGGGATGCATCGCGCAACTCGCTGCCGAAGCCCGGGCGGTGACGGACGCCCTTCGGAATGCACCATTGCGTAAAGGCCCCGACGTCGCCCATATTCGCCGGAAGTCGCTCGCCGCGCAGCGCGGGGCGACAGTCTTCCTCGTCAGACTCACCCTTGTACTTGATCGTGACCTGCCAGCCAACCAGGTCTTCGGCACGAAATATCCGCGCCAATCCAGACGACCGGGTGGGGTGGCGGACGTGTCGGATTTCCCCATGGCGACGGCCGGTAAGAGGGATGGAAGATTGTTGGTGGTCCCGGAATGGGTGTACAAACGAAAGATTTGATGCAAGAGAGGGGTACTTACCGTAGGTGCCAGGCAGCAGGTAGACTATCTTTACCCTCGCTGGCTCGCGTTGTGGGGATATGCCTCAGCCTTGCAGCGGTTCACGTGATGTTGCGCGGGATTTGAATCCTTGCTTTTCAGCTCCTATCATTCTGGTGATGGCATTTGCGAATATCGAAAACCAGCGAAGGAAAGCCAGGTATTTTGCCATGTATAGCATTGTTTGAACCTTGCGACAAAAAAAGGCGCCGTCCGACGACCATGGCTGCAAATGAGCCCCTGCCCGAGGTAGAAATTGGACTCGAGCAGGCAGGGTTGACCGACTCCTCCACGTACGACCTTCCAAAGCGACGAAGAGAAAATAGCCTCGCGTACGAGGGCATCCCGCTTGACAGCAAGAATTTGCGCCTAATCCGGATCCAGCCTTCAGATCAACTGCATGATCGAATCAGCTGCAGCCTCACGGCCGTCCCTTTCGGCAGGCGGCCCAAGTACCAAGCCCTCAGCTATGTGTGGGGAACGGATACGGCCAGCGAGACCATCGAGGTGAACGGTGTCGCATTTCAGATCGGGAGCAATCTGCTAGGGGCCCTGAGGTTTCTCAGCACTATGCGGAATGATGCTGCCGCCCAGGATGGGTTCTGGATCGACGCCATCTGCATAAACCAAGATGATATCCATGAGAAGAATGCACAGCTGAGCATTATGGGACAAATATACTTTAGAGCAAGGTCTGTGCTTGTATGGCTGAAAAACGGGTCGTCCCAAACCGCCTCTGCGGGGGTAGATCAGCAGCAAAGAATATCCGAGTCACAAAGCAAACTATCTATCACTTCCAAGGAGAAAGCGATGCTCCTCGAAGACCCTTATTGGGACAGGTTATGGATTCTCCAAGAGCTGGGACGAGCGCGGCGCATACTCGTATGCTTGCGCCTCCATACTGTGCCTTGGAAAGAGTTTGTGGCTCTCGTCGTCGGCCCCCCGTCTAGGTTCGATGAAGACATACCAGACAGAGGGCCCATCTGGCTCGACACTGTCATAGTCCAAGCAAAGTACGCCACCCTTGAGCAACTGCTCTGCGATCACATCCACGCCAAATGTTCAAATCGCCTGGATAAGATTTACGGCCTACTTGGCCTTGCCATAGACGGGTTCAGATTCCCCGTCGACTACCGGAAGACTCGGTTCGAGGTTTGGAGGGACACGATTCGCTTCATCAGCGAAACCATCGAGACAGACTTGACGTCGATGGCAAGGCTGGTCAAAGAGCTGCTCACCCGCGACGACCTGGTAGATCCGCAGGGGCATCAGTCGGGGTGTTTCAGGCAGCTCACCCCTCGAGAAAAGGACGCGAAGCTCAGGGTGGAGACGCTGCCGCCGGCAAAGCAGGGCCTGACCCTCACCGCGGCCATCATGGGCATCATCGCCAAGGTGGGCCCACCGGTGCTCGACTGCGTGGCTGAGCCGGTGCAGTGGTCCAACTGGAGAGACCAGGTGCAGCTGTCGCTCAAGAGCCCAGCCGACAAGGACGCGGCCATCCGCGCCAACGACAAGCTCTTCACGTCGCTCCTGGACCTGGAGGACGCGCAGATCCTCAACCTCTGCTCGAGCCGAGCGGGGCCGCACATGTGGGGCGCGGGCGACGACGCGCTCGTCGGGGACGCGGCGCTGCAGGCGGCGCAGTGGGCGGAGCGGCTGTCGCTCGAGAGCCGGCTGGCGGACCGCCCGCCGGCGTCGGGGGCGTCGTTGTCGCTCCCGCGCTTCTGCCTGCTCGAGGCGGGCGGCGCGGCGCGGCAGCCCATGGCGCCGGCGACGCAGCTGGGGTTGGTGCCCGGGGTGGCGCGGCCGGGGGACATGCTCTGCCGGGTGCGCAACAGCTCGAGGGCGCTCCTAGTGCGGACCATGCCCAAGCGGGACGCCCCGGGCAGCCCGGGCGGCGGCGGGGCCGCCATGTACGTGCGCGGAGTGGCGACGGTGGCCGAGGACGTCGGGCTCGGGCCTGAGCCCCCAGACTACGACGCGCGCTGGCGCTCCGTGCAGAATTTCCCCATGATGCGTGTCGTGCTGGACGCCGAGACGTTGCTGCAGCTCATCGAATAGGGTAGGAACGGGAAGAAGAGGGTTTGGGTGGGCGCGCGTTTCAAAGAGTCACCAACCCCGCGCCTGCGCTCTCTGGATTCTTCCACAGATCCGACAGCGTGACGACAATAAAGAGACCACCGCTCTCGCAGCCCGTGCCGTGATGAAAAAGATTACCAATCCTGAGCCTGCGCCTTCTGGATTTCGGGAGTACGCCAAGCACTTTCCCAAGATCCGAACGCGTGGAGACGAGGACGCTGCTGTGCTCGAGGCCCGTTAGCCAGCGGTCGGTATCATCGGGCCTTAAAAAGGCGGCTGGGGCTATAAGCCATCCGCTCCTCCTAAAGGGGACCAGAAGGGCCGTGTTCGGTCCCGCCAGTCTGTGGAGAGTCAGTCGTAAGGACGAGTGTGATTGGATGGGCTCCTAGGGCGCCGCGGTGCAAGTCGAGAGAGAGTCTGGGGCGAGGCGTTGGTGATGGCGGGGATCCTTGGCAGATGTTTGTTGTTTGGCGTAAAGGTTCTATGAATTCATTCCTTTATACCTTCTTTGACTTGTGTTCGTGGATTCATCAGCATATACTCCGTCCGTTTTCCAGATCGACACTGGAAGGTTCTGAAGAGATATCTTGTGACAATGTGACCAGCAGCAAGTTGGCATGCCTGTCAAAAATCCTGACACAAGGCAGATGATTCTCACCCATCCTAACAACAGTGCCGTCTTCTCGTGGTCCGGCCATATCTGCGCGTTCATTTACAAAAAATATGGACAGTCCCACCTTCCATAACTTGCCCCGACACCCACAATTTCGTCACACGCTCTGCCAAACGCGCTGCCCAACGTCCCCCGCACCCTGCCACATCCAGATCCCCTCAGACGGAAGCATCCGCATCGTGCCCAAACAGCCACGCCCTCTGCTCCTCGTCCGCCCACAGCACGGAGCCGCCGCCCACCCCTGCCTCGTCCCCAGCCTCCAGCGCCGCCCGCAGCGCCCGCCCGCGCTCCTGCACCAGCCACGCCCGCGGCCTCCGCGCGGCCTCGTACCGCGCCAGCGCCGACGGCACCCAGGCACCGGGACCGGCAGAAACAGCAGA